ATAAATAATGTAAGGCAGTATCTCACTACTGACTTTGTTCCGTTGCACCTTGGTTTAGACCATATAACCAGGGACGAAGTGATAGCCCACAACCGGGCCATACCAAATTTTTGTTTTGGTAACGAAGTGTCACCAAAACCAATAATTATATTCGATGGAACTTACATCTATATAGAAAAAAGTTCTAAATTTATATTTCAACGCCGCACTTATAGCCTTCATAAGTACAAAAACCTAATAAAACCATTCATGATGGTGTGTGCGGATGGATATATTTTGGACGTAACAGGTCCGTACTCTGCACGGACAACTGATGCTGATATAATGAAAATGATATTGGAAAACCATGATGCTCCCATTGAAGACGGACCGTTCCATTATTTTTTTCATCAAGGAGACGTGTTTATTTTGGACCGAGGCTTTCGGGATTCCATTCCCTTAATTGAAACATATGGCTATGATGCTCATATGCCGCCAAGCAAACGAAGACAAGACACGCAATTAAGCACCGACCAAGCTAATAAATCGAGACTTATTACAATGGTGCGATGGGTCGTCGAAACTATAAACGGCAGATTCAAGCGCGACTTCAAGATATTCAGAAACAGAGTATTTAACAAACATGTGCCGCATATATTTGAAGATTTTAGAATTGCTGCAGCTTTAATTAATTATTTTCAAGATCCGTACGAAGACAGTCCGTACACTGAGGATTTTATCGAAATAATTAATCGTAATATACAACGCCCCAATCGACTGGCCGAGTATGTGGAGGAGAACAATCTCAACAGACAAAGAGTGACGTTTCACAGAATGATGAAGACCCGGTAAATTTTCCACAACTTACAGTTGAAGACTTAATTAAGTTCTCGATTGGTACCTATCACGTGAGGTTAGCACGGTCGTACTGTAGTGAGCATTTGAAAATCACGGGAGTATATAATATGGAAATATATAGACATCCAGCGGCAGTAGAGGGCAGAAACAATAATACTCTATTCAGGTGCAGAATTCATTCACGACACGTTACGACAAAAAAGTATTATACTTATATTATGTTTGATGAGAATGTAAATGGAATAAACGCAATAACAGAATATTACTGCTCGTGCTACCATGGTAAAAGGACATTGGGAAGTTGCTCACACGTCATTAGTGTTGTGTATTACTTAGGGTGGGCTAGAGCTAGACATCAAGATCACTTTGACCACCCCGCACTGGGTATGGATTATGTTTTAAGGGATTCAATAAAACTTTAGTTTGACATATTGTTTTTTTTTTTGTTATAGATCATGGAACCCCAATGGTAGGTACCAAAATCTCCGATCTGCAATAAGTCATCTAATACGACGATTTTAATGGATCCTAAGTTGATTATTGTACTAGGAGTTCAAAAATTATATAATCCAGCTGCATTTCCAGGTCACCTAGATACATTCAACAGCGATTTTATTGTCATTTACTTACATATATTTACGAATTTTGTAGATAATTAGCAATTTTGTATTTTTTGTGTATCGCCTGAACAAAAACATAAGGCAATATTTTGGTGTAAGCCATTGATTTCGAACATAAAAAATATAAAAATTAATTATATAAAAAATAACAAATAAACTGATATATGTCTCGTTTCTGTCGGGTCTGGGTTTTTTTTTCTATGGGACGTGACCGTTCTTCTTTATGGAGTGTACAAATAAGGAGAACAATCTCTCACAGTAGAATAGTTGAAAAAGTGTCACAGTCTGTACTCCTTACCTCCACACTCCATAATTAAATTCCTTGATGCATAGATTGAGTATAAACCTTAGAGAGAAAATGATATATAGTGCGCGCAAGATAACTCTGCGCGCGACTGATGGCGTGCTTAATGTTGCCAGCTTAACTAATATTTTTTCCTTCGTTTAATCTTATTACTGGAATTGTATAATTATATCAAATTACATAAATTACCTAATTGATTACCAAATCTCAATTAAAAAAACTGTAATGTTCAGCCTAAACTTACAAAGACCTAATAATTTTTTAAACCCCATATTTATTGTTTAAGATCCGCGTAATAAATATATTTCTTGATTCTAACTTTCATAAGTTTGATACCTCACTACACAAGTTTAACTACGCCACTACAAATTTTTTTACACAATTACAGGTACCTATTATGTGCGTGTATAAAAAGGACTAATACTAAGATTTATGACTACTGATATTTTGTCTACAATAAATTTTTCCAAAAAAGGTATTTTGAAACAACTGAAATAGCACTATAATATTTATTATAAAGAACGAAATAAAAAGTCCAAGGAAACCTTGTAAATCTTTTATTGAATACCTATTACTATTTATAAATTTGGTGTAACAATGGTCCTGCAGTGGATCAACGCCTTCCATTCGCATATCTTCATCAGAATCCATGCTAGAGTCTTCATCAGATGACTCGGATGTGTCACCTGTAACATTAATTACAAATTCATCCATTCCCATATCCATCAGCCTATCTGATTGGAAATATTTATCTTCTATTTTTTCCTCAGGTTGGCATACGTTGAACCATTCTTCTGTCGTTACTGTTCTAAACGCCGCCTCAGTAATAGCAGCTATTTCGCTAGGAGCTTGAGTGATATTTTTCTCTGCAATGTGTCTCTTTACTACTGCCCAAATTTTTTCTATGGGATTTAAATCGCAGTGGTATGGCGGCAAACGGAGAACCTCATGTCCATATTCATTTAGCATTTGATCTATTTCGTACTGTGGGTCTCCTTTGTATTTTTTAATTAATTCGTATAATTGCGCTTTTGTCCAACAGTCTTCAAATGTAATACCATTTCTCGTAAGCCATCCTTGGAGCTCTGCTTTTGTATTGCCAATTGTAGGCGCCTTGTTGATCTGTGTGCAGTGGTATGACGCATTATCCATCACTACAATGCAATTCGTTGGAAGATTCGGCCCAATTTTTTCTTTCATCCACCGCATGAAGTTAGCTGAATTCATATCGTCATGATAGTCATTCGATTTGGAGTTAGACCTGAACAGCAGCAGTCCGTTTTCAACAAACCCAGTTTTACCTCCACCATGGGCTATTATCCATCTTGCACCGACCCTATCAGAAGCAAGAATACCAGGCTGTTCCTTCGATTGCCAACATTTTTGAAGGTGGTATGAAGCATGTATATACGTTTCGTCAACGTAAATTACCGGTCGATTTTCTTCCTGACGATTCTTGCGCAACCTCAGAATATATTTTGCTCTCCAAGCTGCAATATCACTGCGTTCTACCAATACTTTTCGTTTAAACTGGCACCTTTTGTATTTGTAGCCATTAGTCTTTAAAATACTCCTCAACGATGTTCTGCCATATTTAAAACCAATATCAGTTTTCAATTCCAACCAAAGTTTATTTATGGTAGGAATCTCCTTCTTCACGACGTAAAATGATTGAATTAAATGCCTTATAGCGCACATATCGAAATCGTCTAAATCATAAATTTTTTTCCTTCGGTTCCTAGTTTTTCCCGGCGTCACAATTTTAGAAGATGAAGCTTCTGCTATATTACCCTCTTGACTTATCTGGGTGACGGTGCGTTCAGAAACACCTAAAACAAAATAAAAACAATGTATTATAAATACATGACATTAATGACACGAGGACATTAAAAAGGAACAAATTGAGAAAATTGGGGAATTTTATTGTAATGGCATCCCTAAAAATTACCTGTTAAATATGCAACGCGGGCTCTAACTTTGGAAAACGGTACTATAGGCCCGTTATTGTCTCGTTCTTCTTCACAAGCACGTTTGACCTTCAAAATAACATCCCTGCCAGCACTTTTAATCACTTTCGGCATAATGATAACGATTAATTACTGCAAAAAAGAATAAAAACAGGACACCTACCACTGGAGTCTCTGTTTAGACACTTGCCATAAACAGTAAGATGGCGGCACACGATTAGTTCCAATTTTGGCCGCGCGCAGAGTTATCTTGCGCGCACTCTATAAACCATACATATGCCTTGATCTGTGACACAGACTAATATGATCATAGAGATATAATACTTCTAAGTCAGTGAATATGATGCTAGGGCTAGGCTGGAATTTTGGCGGGAAATTGACCGTCGACGATTAATGCTCCTGTGTTATCGTTTATGATTTTCTTTTTATTAAATAATGATTTTAAGTGGATTTTCGTACCTAAAAGTGGTGCGATTTTGTGTATTGTCTGCACTGTGAACTATTAGAGGAAACAACGAAACAGTTACTTCGATGTTGATATAAATCTCAAGTTATTTTGATCACTTAAACACCTTATGAACTTGAGTGACTGTCGTCATTGACTCTGCGCTGACTTCAGCTGTCGTCAATATCTCCCAAAACTTCGCAATGTGACGCATCTGCATATTGTGAAGAAAAGATCTAAAATAATGAAGATCCCGAATGTATTCAAGACATGGCTTAAAGGACAAATATCTAAGCCAAATATCTTAATTAAAAATGAGTTTGTGTTTTTGTTGGCAACACTGATTTACAATTCCTTGATTATTCTAAATGTTAGGATTATGTTTGATTTGTCCTGGATTTATATATTTATCATAATGTTTATGTGAGTATTTAAATATGAATGATAGAAGAAAATGTTTTAGATTCTATTGAAAAACATTGTATGCTTTCTAAGGGAGTGTCGTTTAGATGCGCTGACCTTCGTTTAGATGCACAACGCACAACAAAGCATCAAACTGACGGGTGCCCTATTTTCACAACAATCTTTGGTTAAAATAATTACTTTCGTAAAATTAATTTATGTGTATTGTTCGCTATGTAATGTGAAATAAAAATTTAAATCATCAAGTGCCGCATATGTGTGGATAATATCCTTTGATAATGGAATCGGCGGCTACGCAAACAACTTCTTGTAGTGTGTGTTACAATACGACAGCAAAGACTTTCTTTTTGACTTCTAGGATAGCACAAGTGGTCCTGAAAAAATAAGTCAAAATTCCGATCAAAATGAATGAGAGGGATATTCCAAGTGTCCCTATTACAACATTAGCAGGTGTAGCCAGTTTGACAGACTGTAAGTACTAGACATGATTGCAATATTTATAATCAATTTTTAATCCAGGAATGAAATCTTTACACGCTATTTATATTGGTTAGCCTTATATAAGCAAATAATAATTATTTTTTAAATATCTTTTACATCTATATCTACTTATTATATACCTACTTCTACAGATCTTAAATTTAGTGATATAATCTTGTGTAAAATTCCTCATATAGTTATTAATTACATTTTACATTCAATTTATAAGGTGAAAATATATTTATAACCAAAATATAGTAATATGAGAATATTTGTATTATTTTTGTATATTGTAGGTTATATTAACAAGTTACTAGTTAGAGAAGTGTTTGTCCATGACACTGAAACACTTTATGTAACTACACTTTTTAATATAGCTAATTTATATATTAAAGTTTTTATCCTTAAAAACTTAATCCACGAAAATTATCATTTGAATATAGGTCACTAAAAGAATATTATAAAAACAGTACATTAGCCAATAAGTAATTAGGTTTCCAAACACTAATAAGTATGAGAAAAAAATATTTCCATCCTGTGTTGTAACAAATGTCTCAGATAGTTGTACCGACAGGTGATGTCAGTACAACTATATTCTGTTGGTGTAAACTTTTTATAGTAAAAAAAGAAATGAGCACACAGTTTACCTGATGGTTACTGGATACTTAGGGCAATAGTCTTCTACATGAAATTCAGTTGCATTGTTACCCCTGAGAACTAAGGTGGAAAGCCTCATTTCCAGTAAAAAGGGTCTGGTTCTCTATATTTACCATATGAAATACAGCAATATTAAGCTACTATTTTATGCTAGTATTCTGTGAGAGTGTGGTCCTACCTTAGTCAAGCCGACCTATTCATGCTACAACCATAATATAGCTGCAGTGTGGCTCTACCATATATAACCTAACTTAGTCTTGGCCCACCTAACAGCGGTACTGCAATTGCTAATCTGTCTGCAAGGCATAGTGATTTTGGCAAATTCTTCGTCTACATCCAGCAATGTGCTTTTCTGGCTCTTATAGAAAAAAGATAAGCTATCAATACTGGTTAATGGTCTAAATATCCATTAATTTTTCATATACTTAAAATAAGGATGAACATAAATCATCTGACCTGCAGAAGCTCTTTCACTATTTATTGGCTGGGCAAAAGAACTATTTTTATAATATTAGTAAATTATGACAAAATTTTAATTTATCATGTTGAAAAGTAAGAAGTTTTAATTTAAATTCATCATTTATATAAACTAAATGGATATACATGTAAAAATATATTTGTTATTATATGTATATATTGGGACTACAAGACAGTTTTATTGGATCTTGTAAATATAAGCTGTAGTTAGCTCTTAAAGTATTTTTTTTATTTTGATCAAATACATACTGCTCCTAATTTTCTACTAGGTACCATCTTCCATCTGTCTACTAGCTTAATGATGCTATAGTAATATAATATATTATCTTTTCATGCCAAAAATTCTTCAAGTGCTGCTGAAACCTCCATTCTACTTCAAGTATTTTTAGTTGTATAGTATAATATGAGCATTCTTGCGATATAAGATTTCACCCCCATTTTCTTATTTGAATTCTACTACACAACACCTCAGTCCCGTGGTGACCATTCGTACTGTAAAGTGCTTGAAATGTCGGGAATATAAAATAAGTTAATATATGCAATGAAATCTGTAAAAACTAGTATTACTTAAATGTGTAGTCTTGACATAAATATAAGAAATCATTATTGGAACCTTATTTTCCTATCAATTTAATTTATTATTACAGTGAGTAATAACTAACTTAACCGATTGTTATATTTTTCACTGGAAATAATCCCTTGTAGCTAAGCATTTCATAATACCCCTTGTATAATATCTCTTGGGATCCTACCAGATACATAACATCTCTTTCATTTGATGGGAATTTGATCATGGCATAGAAGTTGCAAGTTCTCCTGGTTTTAAGTAAATTTTATTTTTTTGAGGCTGAGGAAACTTGGTATTTATGTTTTATTGCTACATCAGCAAATGGAATTTACTAATCGTACCGCTTGAAGCTTTAAATCAGTTACCATTTGTCTAAAGCTGTGCAAGGATAAGGTGCAAAAGAAGTAATGTATATTTTAACAATCTGCTGAGTTATACTATAACATTCACGGAAAACCTCAGGATTCATAATGGGAATCGGGGATATGACGTGATAGATTTCACCAGATAATTTTAAAGTTAAATTGACCTGTACATCAGTTTACTTGTTTGGATAAGAGGTCAGCAAAAGATTAAAGTATTTTTTATTTTAATGCAGCTAAATTATTTACAAATCCTAAAAAAAATTATATGATAAATAATTTGTTTGTGGCAGCCTCATATTAGCAATTGTGGTAGATATCTCAAGATTTGTTCCACATATTATTAAATCATATTCCTGTATTTATTAAAACAAAAAAAATGAAATTATATAATCATTAATTTTGTGTTTACATGCCAGCAATTAGTTCAGGCCCTAAGCGTGAGCTGTATATTTCACGGCATGCAAGCAACACAAGTTTGAACTAGCTAGCACAAATGAAATTATAAGATAAATAAAATTTTTTATACATGTGAAGTATCCACCAAAGTTCACTGGAGTAGTGCAGCATACTAATTGCTCCATAACACTAAAGAAAAAAATGAGACGAGCTGTGCCCAATTGTGGGATGCTGTTCACTTTCCTTATTGTCCATTTTAATAACAAGGACTCACCAGTTATTATTTTTCAATAAATTTGTAAACAAGTCTAATCATCGTCATTCTAGCCCATCAAAAGTCCACTGCTGGTCTTAGGATTAGCTAGGCCTTCTACTATAAGGATAAGGAATAGTATCCTTACACAAACCTCCAACTGTAAGCTGTACTAGTCCAAACAATTTGGCAAAACAGTCTGCTCTAGAGTAAATTGAAGGATTATCATTTATCTTCGAAATATTTACAATTCCTCAGATACTGTTAAGCATATCAAAACTTAAAAATTTGATGACAATATCGTTCATAGTCCTGCCCCGCTATTCCTGGCTATGGTGGCGACCACTGTAACGGCGGGCAGGGAGTGCTAAGAATCCCCGGTAGAGGTTTGGTTGCCACCTAAGATGACTCGACCTGGTAACCTACAATGCACGCACCCTGAGGACTGACGAGAAGATCCCAGAGCTGGAAGAAGAGATAGCCAAGTTATGCTGGAATATTATAGGATTATCCAAGGTCCAAAGAGGGGAGGACATGATGATTCTTAAATCCAGCATCTTGTTCTATCACCTGGAGGGCAATCATTTGTCCCAAGGAGGTGTTGGGTTTATCTCACAAGTTGTAAAGATTGGGATGTTTGTGATTGTTCCGTGATGTCTCAGTGATCGCAAGAGTGAAAACTAGCAGCAACCACCGAATGGTTAGAGGCACACCATACCTAAACGTTAACGTTTAGGTATGGTGTGCCTCTAACCATTCGGTTAAAGAATATATTCTTCAATTTCCACATACATACCCTGTGGCAGAATGTACAGAAGACCATAGAGTACAATCTGCCACTTTGCCTTGCGTGTGTGGACTATGAAAAAGCCTTTGATTCCGTCAAAACTTGGACAGTGCTACAGTCCCTTCAGCGGTGTGAAATTTACTGTTGGTATATCGAAGTGCTGAAGTGTTTGTACAATAGGGCTATGATGGCTATCCGAGTACAGAACCAGAATATGAAACCTATCCAATTGCAGAGAGGTGTTAGACAGGTTGCCGTTATATCCCCGAAACTCTTCACTGCTGCATTGGAAGACGTTTTCAAGCTACTGAACTGGAAAGGATACAGTATTAACATCAATGGCGAGTACATCACTCGCCTTCGATTTGCCGACGATATAATCAATATGGCAGAATTGCTGAAGGACCTAAGCACTATGCTCAATGACCTCAATAGTGTCTCCCAATGGATAGGTCTTGAGATGAACATGAACAAAACAAATATGATGTTTAATGTCCATGTCACACCTATGCCAGTAGTTGTTGGGAGCACTAAGCTCGAAGTTGTTGACGAGTATGTTTACCTGAGACAAATAGTTCAACTAGACAGCGTTCGGGAAATTACGACACATCTTTTCGTCAGTTGAGGTATACTCAAAACCTGAAAACTAGATTGGACAACTAGTGCATGTTGCCAGTGATCTGAGATGTGGTCCTTCACTGCTGGCCGTATGAGGACGCTTAATGTCGCTCAGCGAACTACGGAGAGGGCTATGCTCAGGGTTTCTCTGCGTGATAAACTTAGAAATGAGGATATCCACAGTAGAACAAAAGTGACCGACATAGCCCAACGGATTAGTAAACTGAAGTGGCAATGGGCCGGCCGGCCATATAACACGAAGAACCGACAACTGATGGCGAAAAAAGATTCTCGAGTGGCAGCCTCGTACCGGTAGGCGTAGTGTAAGGCGACCCCCTACTAGATGGAGTGACGACCTGATAAGACATGCAGGAAGTGGATGGATGCAGGTAGCTCAGGACCGTGCTTTGTGACATTCCTTGGGGGAGGTCTATATTCGGCAGTAGACTTGTGAAGGGCTGTAATGATGATGATGATGACAATCAGTCACAGTAGTGCAAGTTTAAGTTTTGCTTATTGTGATTTGGGCAATAATCCTCTAATCTACTATGGCAAATGTAAATATGCCTATATATCTTATTGCTATTATTATATTGCCGTATTTTTTGTTGACAGTGCTACCAGTGCTACCACTTCCAACACCTTTACCATCAACATTAAACAATAAATCCCAATTATTTCACCCACGTGTTGCTGAAGAAGCAGCCATATTGCTTGCAACACGCGATGATAGTTTGGTGTCCTTATTGTTGCAGTCACTTATGCAAACATCTGTACAACACATGTAAGGATTCTTAATTTTTTATTATGCTAAATCATTGTGTATGTAGTAACATCTTATTAACAATTAATAATTTTAAGAAATTGATTAATTTTATTAAAAATTGAATTTTATATTTTCATACAACTTTAAAAACGATGGCTTCATAATGTCATAAAATTTTATATTGTATCTAATTTGTTTCTTTACAGTGACTTAAAGGATGAAACCATTCCAAACGCAGTTAGCCCTGCACCACAACAGGAAACACCAGAGCTACTAAAAGCAATTCTCCATGTCAATCCAAATATATTTGATCAACGTAATGAACAGAGAAACCATTGGGGCAATCATTTACATTCGGCAAAATTTAATGGGATGTCACCATCATCAACCTTTAACTTTTCATCACACAACACAGTGCACTCCAATCCATCCACCCATGGCACTGCTGTTCATTCAGGACCCATTCCCAACCAACAGTTATTAGCTCCACCCTGCCAGTCTTCACCCCATGTGAATATAGGTTCCCCACCTTCGCAAGCACGACCAGGCCATCAAGTAAATATCACAGCCCAAAACAATATCTCCCCTCCCTGGAATGGTGCAAACCAATCTAATGTATATGCAAGCCCCCTTACAAATACATCTTGTAATAACCCTCAAAATGGTGGATTTTACAATAGTCTAAAAGACAATAGAAATTTTGATACTAGTTTAAATGAAGATAAAGATCCACTTTCCATGTCACCAGGAAATCTACAAGATCCCCAAAGAATTCATATGCAGACCCAGGAAAAATCATTTGAACAAGGTGTGTATAGTTAATTAAAGGTAACTTTATTCTTACTCCTTTAATATCTATTTATGTACAAGTCAAAGTTATGGTTTTTGAAAGAGAAGAAAGTAAAACGATATGTGAAATTAGAATAGAAGGGGAGTTGATAGAGCAAGTAGATGAATTTTTATATTTGGGATACATATTTAGCAAGCATGGGAGATATGATAAGGATATAGAACGACAAGTGAACGCAGGAAATAGAGTAAATGGGGCCCTACACTCTATTGTGAAAGTCAGAATGTGTCAAAAAAGACACGTATGCAATTCACAATGCTGTGTTGGTCCCTACTTTAAAGTGTGGTAGTGAAAGTTGGGTGTGTCAGAAGAAGCACGAGAGTAGAATAAACGCAGTAGAAATGCGGTCATTAAGGAGTATGTTAGGTCTGAATCTGAGTGACAGGGAGAGAAGTTGTGTGATAAGAGAAGAGTTTAGTTTGCAAGATGATGTTGTGACCAGGATTAAGAAAGGAATGCTTCGGTGGTTTGGTCATGTGGAAAGAATGAATGAGGAAGGAGTGACAAAGCAAATTTATATTGCAAAAGTGAACGGCAGAGTCGGAAAGAGACATCCTAGGCGAAAGTTTATCGACCAAATTGGCGATATATTGAAAATGGGCCAAATTGGGAGTATCCTTAACTGACGAACATGTATGCATAGGTATATGGATGTGGATGAGGTGAGAGAGGTGTATCATGATCGTGCCAAATGATACCCTCTGGGTGACAGGCGTGAGTGTTTATGTATGTATTGATTTACACTCAGACAAGTGGGCGAATAACAGCTAAGATGTAAATAAGAGAAATAAATATTTCTAGTGTATAAAAATCTATCAATAATAGTAATGTTTGTGCTGATGTATTTCTTTTTGCATATTTTAGATGGTAATGTAGTAACAGGTCAATCACCTGCTCAAGCGAGTGTTGCCCCATCTCCCTTGCGTCAAGAACCGCAAGTACCTCAACCATCAATGGGTGCACCATATGCTTCACAACAACAATCACAAAGTACTCAAGATAAACTGGAAACATCTACCAAAACTTCTAATATGGTTAATAATAGGTACCCTGTTGTAAAAATTGGACGTCTTTCAGTGAGTACTATTTTTTATAGACATTTTTGCTTTTAACTACTACCTAATCTTATTGTTTTTATGAGAACTGCTCCATGATATCATATAACACAAAGAATTACCACCAACCATAGTTGGTGGTAAGGTGGAAGTACTCTTAATGACTTTTAGTCAATGTTATAAAATAAAGTAATAGCCTGTATACATCCCACTGCTGGCCACAGGCCTCTGCTCATTTCTGAGAGGGTTTTAGGGCAAGGAAGTGTCCACCGCGCTGCCCCAATGCGTGTTGGCAAACTTCACATGTCTTCGAAATATTTTTTTACTTATTCCTCAGACATACAGGTTACCTCACGATGTTTTCCTTCACCGCCGAGCACTTGCATCAGCACTTAAAATTGCAATTAACAATTTCATTGGTGCCGGCGGGGATCGAACCCGGGTTACTCACATTCTGTTATATTAACAGCGAGCGTTGACCATCTGACCTACCACGGCTCATCATTATAAGTTGTAATGAATAAGCAGATAAAAAATTGTTTGAAAACAATTACTAAGTTGTACCAATTGGAATTTCAATCTTATAATATTCTACATCACGACACTGATGGCATGAAGTTTGGTTGATGAAATTATTTTCTAATGCATTTAACACTGTTGATCATTGATTTTCTTCTTGCCATCTTGTCTGACATAAGGTTTGCTACCTTGAATCAGCATTGAATCAGTTGTCCGTGTTTTATTGCCATAATTGTTCATGAAACAGTATGCTACCACTTGTTCCGCATTGTGTAATACTTGCTATATGACGAGACGCATGTCTAACGAGTTCGTTAATTCATAATAAGGGAGAAGAGGTCTCGTCTGACCACCCGAGTTGGATCCGCCAATTGATATCTCGATCGAAATTAAACTTATCAAGTTGGACAGTTTGTCCTGATAAACATACCCGCTGGCAACTTCGACCATAGTGTTTCCAACAACTACTGACATAGGAGTGACATGGATGTTACATGACCTTGGTCTTGTCCTATGTTCATTTTAAGACATCCATTCTGAGACAATATTGAAGTCATTGAATATAGTCCTCCAGCCATTCTGCCATAGTAACTAAATTGTCGGCAAATTGAAAGTGAGTGATGTACTTGTCATTGATACGGATACTGTATCATTACCAGTTAAAGGGCTTGAAAACGTCATCCAATGCGAAGGTGAAGAGTTTCAGAGATATTATAATGTTATAATGTTTTATATAGGTTTTGTACTGTTTTGTATTTGGATAGCATCTATACTTAATTGAACAAACACTTCGATATCTCGATATACCAACAGTAAACCTCGCACCGCTAAATGGACTGAAGCAGTTATCATAGTTCTACACACGCAAGGCAAAGTTACAGATTGTACTCTTCAGTTTTATCTACAATTTGCCGAAGGGGTTTTTTTTATTATTATGTGCGAGCAGCTATGCAGGTCTAGGGAAAGAGACCAGTATCACTGCGACCTAAAAGATCTATTGTGATCGCTGCTATGGCTATAGTTCACTGCTAAGCCCCATGTCTTCAATGAATAGGAGTTGTTTAGCCGTGAGCAATTTCACATCTTCTGGGCAGAGTACTTAGTCTCCCAGATGAGTGTTATGTTTCATTATATCATCATTAAGTCTTGCACTGCGAGGAAAAGACTCATCTTCCTCCACGATGCTCTCTTGGCTTTCCTAATTTCTTTATTATATTCAGTTAGGGTTGCTTGGTTTTCTTAGCCCTATTAAATAGTTTCCTGGTCTTTTCCCTAAGTTCTTTTAGCTTAGTATTCCACCAAGGAACTTTTCGTGTTGAGGTCTTGGCTTTGACGGGACAACTGTCCTTGAAGATTCTAAGGATACCTACGGTTAATGTCTCCGTCGCTAACTCCAGACCTTCAATCGTTTTTATGCTTTTAGGAAACATTTTCAAATTCCTCCTTAAGCTATCTCTGTAGATATCCCAAGAGGTCACTTTTGGATCCCTAAAAGCAATGGTTTGTTAGGTTGGTGATGTGCTCCAATCACAAACTTAATGTGTTTTTGATCAGACATCGAGTTTTCACTACTATTATACCAGTCATTTATCCGCCTGGACATGTTATTTATTGGTAGCAAAGGTTATGTCGTAACACTTCTTGCCTAGCACGCTTAACAAAGGTTGGTGTACACCCTAAGTTTAGGCTTACCAGGCCGTTGGAGATCAGAAAATCATAAAGTAACTCACCTCTTTCGTTGATGTTAGTACTTCCAAAGGCTGTGTTGAGTTTTCGGGCGAACTCCGCCACTCGTTCTAACTCGATGATAGGATCTGAGTTCTCTTCGGGAAGATAGGCTGAGCAAATGATTACTATGGCCCCTGTGCATCGCTTGAGATTTATGAAGGCTGTAACCAGGTCATCATTGCAGTACTCTTGAACAGCTAAAAGTTCAATATTTTTATTGTAAATTATACAAGCTCTGGCTCCACTGCCTTTAGTATTGACAAGAATTTTACTGGCAGCTGACAATCCCAAAACTTGACCGTTGGCCACCCAAGGTTCTTGTTTGAGGGCGAGGTCAGTGTTGTCCTCTGCAAAGCAAACCTCCACCACGGCAGAAGCAGCTGCTGCTTGGTGAAGATTTGCCTGGAGGATCCCCACGCCCCGCGCCCGTAAATGGCTAATAATGGTGGGGGGGGGGTCTTTTCCGCCTGTTAAGGACGAAGACGTCCTTTACCGGTGCTCTTGACCCCCGCCTTACCTTTGCTCCTAGATGACACCAGCGGAGGCCGTCGGACCGAGGCGAGATCAGCGCTAGGAACCCATTCTCCTTGTCCCTTCCTGTTGTGGTTAATAGTACTAAAGCCTTTCGGGAACCAGCTTGTTTAGGAGGATGGAAGTCTGCACACTAGATGATCCGTATTGACAGTAGAAAAAGCATGTAGATGCGGCTCATAGCGGCATTGAGCGTTGACAGCTTTCTTGAACAAGAAAACCTATGCACTTCTGCTCCACATCTCTAGAATAGTGCCACCATAGATGACATTTTGAATTGAACAGCTTCTAAAAAAATTAAAGTATCAGTTTTTCGCCCAATAAAAAAATTAAAATCTCTTTGGTAATTTCATTCTCACATTGTCTCGCACAGACTGACGTTTATTTAAATAGTTAAATTTATTGACATGACTATGTTCCATCTTTATCATTTGTATGTGATATGTGAGTGTAGGGTGGGTGGGAGTGAATATATTTATATGATAATATATGTGTTTATGTTATGTCTTAAAAATATTATGTATGTATTTATATTTTTTGACTGACCATTCTATGAACATTATATGAATGGTAAAAAAATATAAGTAGTATGACTTACGATAAATAGTAGTAGTTAATAATATCTTATATTTCGTAATAAATGTATTTTTACTAGTTTTAAATATGTTTTTTTTAATTAGTTACTACTAGTGTTCCATTTGGTCTGTACAGGAAGTGATTTTAAAAAAACATGATTTCTCAAATGATGAGAGATCTCGAAAAAGCAGTGCAATGGAATCGGATTCTGATGACAATCAGCCTCTTAAAACAAAATCCACTGTCTCTACTCCTACGGTAGATAAAGAGAGAGAAGCAATAGATATTGCTAGGGAGAAAAACTGGGAAGCAGTGAAGAGAAAACATGAAGAAGCTAGTAAAAAGGAGGAAGCTGAAGCTGCTATTGGTACGTACTTTCATCTTCTATGATTGGTGAATAAAATTATAAGGATTGATATTGAGAACACTCAAGTATACCTTATTTTTTTAATTTTATATGTTTTCTTATAATTTAAAATTTATTTTGCAATTAAAAGTTTTGAACAAATTTTTTAGTTTGTTGTATTATATTAATAAGGTCCTTACACTTTAATCTTAAATAATTTCCAATCACTTTATGCCCTATAAACGATTCGCGCCGAAAACTTCATGTTTTAGAGTTTTTATCAAGGGCGATATCAGAACGATGTTAGCAGATTATTTGAAGAAAATTACGGCTTCAGAAAGATAGTCTTTATTTATAGTCAACCAAATCTAAGAAATACCTTTTGACAGCTGTCAAACTTTTTGCACCAAGCACGCCAACCAAAAAAAGGCGACCGACAATATTCGATTCTTAAAAAAATCGATATCGATTATTTAGAGTTGGTAATCATTTACAGTTTGATTTGAATAATACCAGAATAAATAAGAAACGGATAATTTAAAACACAAGATTTATCAGTTTCTTCGTATTTGTTGTTACTGCTTATTTCTAGAGGCACAGTTATAAAAATTTAAGATTGAAACTACATTAAAAATAAATTTATTCAATAACTTTCAGTACAACTAGCTGAGCTGTCGTAGTTTGGATTAATTATTATTTGATGTTCAATAATTCAGTCAATATTAATGTCTCTTTCAAAGTCATCCATAATCTATTTTTTCTAAGTTTTTCCTCTATTTTTTCTACCAATTTTGCCCAATCATCCTTTGTGACATGGGCACATGCTTCAACGAATATAGAGGAAACTGTTCAAAAAGTTAAAGCCGAGGCACAAAATAAGAAGACAAACACAAAATCACAACATTAAGCTCCCGAAGTGATAAGATTGAAATTACGTATTGGTTTTTTCAGCGCGGCCTTGTATACGAGTTTTTTTGCCTACACAAATTTACGTTGACAAAGTAAAAAAAAAACTTGTTTTATTCATGATTCATGTAATATAAGGAATCTTCAAAATAAAAATTTAATTAAACAAATAATACATTTAAAAAAATTAATGATTCGATTATTTCAATATTTTTACCGATTATTTGAATATTTTTGCCGATTATTCGCATAATAATGAATTTTAATAATCCAAACACTACGGTAAGGTTAAAGGTTTAAATTTTTTCATTGTAAATTTTTTTTTAATATTTCTTCGTATTTTTCTAGATGATAGCGAAAATTTAAGAGTTTAAAGTGATTTTTCGGTAGTTCAACTACTTGTTCAAAGACCACTATTATATATCTGCAGATTTGTTTTTTTTTAAATTTATTTAAAAAAATGGTAGCTAAATCTCAAGCAAAACTTACACAGCCTATATTAGTATGTCTAATTTTTGAAGTTAGGAACCATTAATCCAATGTGCTAGCGGACTTAACATGTCTTTAAAATATTTTTATTCCTCAGGCATGCAGTTTTTCGCTTTATGTTTTACTTCACCGCCGAGCACGTGCTAATATTGCAATTAAGGTTCTTTTTTGGTGCCGACGTTGATTAATCCGGGTTGCTCACGTACTGTAAAATGTACGGAGAGCGCTTATATTCGAAGCTACCACCACAATTTAATTTAAATAATTAATAGATAAATATTTTATTATTATTTTTTATCCCTTAAGTAATATTTTAACAATGCAAAAACATTTTGTTTATTTAACTTACTTTAATTATATTTATTTACAAATGTTTAGAATTAAATGTACTTGTGTACATAAAAAGTTGTAATAGCTCGGGTTGCTCCCAGGCTTGAAAAATTTGCGTTTTTCCTAGTACGCGAGCAAATCGAGATCCTCGCAGACCAAGGAGAGTACTAAAACTTTCCACATGCAGAAAAATATTAAGGAAACCTCAAGCATTAGCATGCAACCTCATAAATAAGAGAAGGTCTGTTACCAGTCGTGGGGCATATATAGATAGGCTGTATCTTTTACTTTATATGAAGTCACTATTTTATTTTGAATGCTATTTTAATTTATTACGACATGTCTTGTATAATAATAAGTTTTTAAACATATCTAATGAAATAACAATTATTTTTAGTTCGACCAAAACTGCGAAAAGTTGAGAAACGGCTTGTTCCTGTGTTGGAAATGCTTTCAGTTGATGAACTTATGGAGACCAACACCTATCAGCGATTTAGCAAGTTAATTGATGGTGTATTTGAAACAATTGATGATGATATTATCATAACAGATGAAATGGGTGAGAAAACATATAATTAACGTTAATAAGCCTAACTCTAATTAGCTTGACCAGAAAAATAAAACCCACTCAATAAAATTTTTAACCCGCCATTAAAAAACGTTCCTGTAAAATAGCATGACGCTACAAGCAGGAGTGCTACCGGGCCTGGGCTGACACATCAATGTCTCGGGATGTAAACTCTTAAAAAAGAAGTATAATTCCGCCTCCAGGTTCTTCAAATCAATAAAAATTTTGCCAAAGCAAAGCATGAAACTAATTTGCTTTCCTTCGGGAACTTGGTGAAGGCTGTCCAAGGTAACTTCTGTCAGCCATCTCTTCCATGTATGCACAGAAAGGATGACTCACTGGCCCATGCCGCGAATGTGAAAGCCGATCTGTTAGGTTCTCTTTTTGCGTCCAACTCGACTCCCGATGACGGAAGGAACACACCGCCGACCATCCCGCGGGTGAGTGCAGCCGGATGTGCGGTTCACATATCGCTTGCTTCGCAAAGCACTCCTCTCCCTGGACGTCAACAATTCGCGTGAGTCTGATGGAATCCCTCCCATTGTGCTGAAGACGTGTCCTCTGGAGTTGGTACCAGTTTTAACACGTATTATTCGAGTACTCCTACTCCCAAGGCGTAGTCCCGATTTCATGAACAGCTTTGGTCCACCAGATCCCTAAAAAAGGCGACCGCTCAGACCCGCCCTGATTACCTAGGCCAGTAGTTAGGCCTACCGCCATTACTTCGTTCTTCTTTCGAAGCTCCCTTCCTATGGAATTCCCGAGAAATTGTGCAATTGGATCACTAGTTTTCTTCCTGATCGGAGCATTAAGGTAGTAGACGATCCATGCACTGATTACAAGCCTATTACCGCTCGTGTTCCAAAAGGCTGCGTGCTTTCACCAACGCTGTTTCTCCTGCATATCAATAATATGTTGGGAACTGGTTATATTCATTGTGCTGCGAAGGGATGTTGCGTCCCTTTTCATTTTCTCTACCACGGGGAGTGCTCTGAAGAATTGTTCGGATTAATTCCAGCCGCCAAATTTCATGAACGCACATCGCCTCAAAATTCACGATACCATCCACACCATCTGGATACTTCGCGGTCCACTACTATACCTTTTACTAGGAGTTTTCTTCCTTGTACGGTACCCCTCTATGGAATCGTTTACCACCGGCGATTTTTCTGAACCGATACGACTTAGGGACCTTCAAGAAAAGAGCTTACTGCTTTCTAAAAGGCCGACAGCCTTTTAGAAAGCAGTAATCTCTTCTAAATTTTCTTGAACACCACCATGCATTACTGGTGTTACCATTGTTCATGAGTGGCGGTAGTCATTTACCATCAGGTGAGCCGTATGCTCGTTTGCCCCCTCTTCTATAAAAAAATCCCCAGCAATGAGGGCGACACGTCTGCTTTTTCAACATATTAGATGTTATACTTACATGGCTATACTGATATGAGTTGGCCTACAGCTACAACTGTTACAATTACAGTTAATTAAACTTTATTTTAGGTATGAGATAGTTTTGTGGTTGTGCTTTTATCCATCCACTCATTATAATTTATGTGTAACCTTATGCTAGAAAACCCAACCGATTTGTAGGTTTAAGTAGCTACTAATACAGTAGCCTACACTGTATACAACTGCTTTCTCTACTAAGAGACCGATGAACTCAGTGACAAGTTTACCAAGTGGTAGGACTCCCTTTCTCCTTGGAGCCCGTCTGAGTAGCTACCAACCATCCTCTTACTTTCTCTACTAAGAGACCGATGAACTCAGTGACAAGTTTACCAAGTGGTAGGACTCTCTTTCTCCTTGGAGCCCGTCTGAGTAGCTACCAACCATCCTCTTACTTTCTATACTAAGAGACTGATGAACTCAGTGACAAGTTTACCAAGTGGTAGGACTCCCTTTCTCCTTGGAGCCCGTCTGAGTAGCGACCAACCATCCTCTTACTTTCTCTACTAAGAGACCTATGAACTCAGTGACAAGTTTACCACGTGGTAGGACTCCTTTTCTCCTTGGAACCCGTCTGAGTAGCTACCAACCATCCTCTTACTTTCTCTACTAAGAGGCAGATGAACTCAGTGACAAGTTTACCAAGTGGTAGGACTCCCTTTCTCCTTGGAGCCCGTCTGAGTAGCTACCAACCATCCTCTTATTTTCTCTACTAAGAGACCGATGAACTCAGTGACGAGTTTACCAAGTGGTAGGACTCCCTTTCTCCTTGGAGCCTGTCTGAGTAGCTACCAACCATCCTCTTACTTTCTCTACTAAGAGTCCGATGAACTCAGTGACAAGTTTACCAAGTGGTAGGACTCCCTTTCTCCTTGGAGCCTGTCGGAGTAGTTACCAACCATCCTCTTACTTTCTCTACTAAGAGACCGATGAACTCAGTGACAAGTTTACCAAGTGGTAGGACTCCCTTTCTCCTTGGAGCCCGTCTGAGTAGCTACCAACTATCCTCTTACTTTCTCTACTAAGAGACTGATGAACTCAGTGACAAGTTTACCAAGTGGTAGGACTCCCTTTCTCCTTGGAGCCCGTCTGAGTAGCTACCAACCATCCTCTTACTTTCTCTACTAAGAAACCGATGAACTCAGTGACAAGTTTACCAAGTGGTAGGACTCCCTTTCTCCTTGGAGCCCGTCTGAGTAGCTACCAACTATCCTCTTACTTTCTCTACTAAGAGACTGATGAACTCAGTGACAAGTTTACCAAGTGGTAGGACTCCCTTTCTCCTTGGAGCCCGTCTGAGTAGCTACCAACCATCCTCTTACTTTCTCTACTACGAAACCGATGAACTCAGTGACAAGTTTACCAAGTGGTAGGACTCCCTTTCTCCTTGGAGCCCATCTGAGTAGCTACCAACCATTCCCTTACTTTCCCTACTAAGAGACTGATGCACTCAGTGACAAGTTTGCCAAGTGTTAGGACTCTCTTTCTCCTTGGAGCCCGTCTGAGTAGCTACCAACCATCCTCTTACTTTCTACTAAGAGACCGATGAACTTAGTGACAAGTTTACCAAGTGGTAGGACTCCCTTTCTCCTTGGAGCCCGTCTGGGTAGCTACCAACCATCCTCTTCCTTTTCTCTGCCGCCAAATGGCAGTGCTTGCTCTGCTGTGTTCTGGCTTGAAGGTATAGAGAGCCAGTATAACTACAGGTATTGAGGCGCTCCATCTTAGTCCTCCGAGGTGACAAAGCATCTGTAGAATTCTATGTTTGAGTTTTGGTGCAGTTGTCCATGGACAGCAGTAGCCAGTTACCACCAAGTGGACTCTACGTCGGTGCTCTTACGATATAGTATATGGTACCCGACAACCAATCCATACGTATCCTAATGCAGCTACATTTCTAGTTATCGGCTATTCAGGTATGAATTCTCTTCAACAAGCTGAAGCTGGTTGCTGAAGCAATCTGTCGAGCTTTAACTTCCCCTATTTAAATCTAATTCTATTGCACTCTGACTTATAAAGTCTTCGTAGATTAGTTGACATATTTACTTAAAAGATGCAGTAGCCTTAAGGAAATAATGTTTTAAAGTATGCAAAGATGGAGTAGTTTACGCGTAACATTAAAATTCGCGGCCATTACATTACAGCAAACCCTAAACCAGACTACATGATAAGAACCTTTCCTGACTACTAACTAAAATTTATTTATGAACTTGTAATTTTACACCACCAAAGGTAGTTTACATCTTCTTGTAAAGTACTTCAAATACTAATGCAGCTACCTAATATCTTTATATGTAAGAGTATGTATTACACATGTGTTATTTAAAAATGTTTTTAATTTTAGACGGTACAGATATTCCTGAAGATTTGTTATTGCCAAGGTATCAACTTCAAGAATTATGTTCTGAAGCTGCTAAATTAAAAAACCTTGGTGCTATGGAAGCCATTCCTGCTGATCGATTAGTTCGGTTACTGAGCATTCTGGAAAAAAATATCAGGGCTGCTGAAAAAATGTCCCTGTTAGGAGATCCTGTAAGTACGATGTTTTCAAATCATATAATATATCTATATCTTAATTTTGAAACTGATGTGAATGAACAATATTCTTATTCACTGCAGGAAGATAGTGAAGAAATGAGACAAATATGGATAGAATCAGCACTAGAAAGAGTCATGTGTGCATCTGATGCCTGCCTTACGTCTCTGTACATAATGACCTCACCTAGCATGCCAAAACGGATATTCCTAGAAGATGTTATAGATAGAATTATATTATTTATAAAATTTCAACTCAACAACACGATTTATTGTGTTTATGATCCAGTGTATAGCATTCAATCGACATACAAAAAGAAAGGTAATTTGGTTCATTTTATCATTAAAAAGTGTTAAATTTATCATCGACATTTTAGAATCCGCTAATCTGCTATACAACTAAAAAAGCTTTTTATTTCTTGTTTCTTTTATTTCTTATTTCTTGTAGACAGGTACTATAAAGTTTTAGTGAAAGAGCTGTATAATTTCTATCCTTGGTGCTCCAACCACAAAAATAGTTAATACCATTTTCATGGTTTATATGTTAAAATTTTAAGCACCAAATATTACCACATCCTTAATGATAATGAAGAAAAAGAAAAAAAGAACACAGATTGAATCTATCATCATCATCCATATGGATACGTTCCTCCGATAGAGAGGATGATTTGCCTGTAATATATGTTTGTTCATCGTACTTGGTGAAAGGATTTTTTAAATCAAACCAAATGTCTTTATTCATGTAGACTTTAAACAAAGCGCAAATAAACGTCGACATATTATAATAATTATAACTTAGGGTTCAGATATATGTGTACAGAGAAAACCGCAAAGACAAACTACACCTTTGGTGATTTTATATTCAGTGTAACACATTGCATTTACCAGTTTTTAAATGAGATTATGTGCTAAAATGGAAGACATTAAGACCAAGCGTCTTTTTCTTTAATGTGGTCATTGACCGTGTAATATGTTTTCTTTGTGAATGATTTAAATTAATACATGATTTTTGCTTGCAGTACCACAAATATTTCTTATTTGACGTTGATCCAAGTACTAGAGTAAACTATTTTACATATAACTCATACATAGTGGCGTTGGATTCCATATAATATATGATAAGAATAACTACATATATACCACCTCTTTTCATATACAATAAAATAAATTTTATACATTCAGTAGTTTAGCCACATAAGATTTATTTTGTTTTAGTATATTTAAACATGATGTAAATATCAGAGTAGAAATAACTTTTCACTAGACAAAGGTCGATAGGGTAATGACCCTGTACCACAGCTGTACAACTGTACCTACAAAATGAAGGAAGGCTGTAATACGTTAAAACAATATATATATATATATTTTTTTTTTTTTTTTGAACATTTACCTAGTTAACTAATTTAAAATACTTAATCGAATTAGAAAGTGCGAGTTCTCATTTATTGTGTGATAAGACGCGACACCTGTACAAGTGAATTGCGCCATCTGCAAGTGGTCAAAATATCTGCCTGGCACTTTCATTTTCATTCTTTATTTCCAGTGACACCCGACGCTGCTTAATTATATCATTTCAAGATTATTATATTTAGTATATTTAACAAAGGCTAAAATATTAAAATCTGCACTATGTTTTTAGCTCGCCATTTGATTTAATGCTGTAAATGATTTTAGTTGATGGTCGTAAACGGCGGGGAGGCGGGTCGGGTAACGCAACGCGTCGTAGCGCCAGTGGCAGCGGCTCTAACCGTGCGGTCCGTGAGCTGTACGCACACGCGCACGAGTGCGTTACGTTGCTCGCAGAACTGTTCGCAGCGCACCATCTTACGGATACAACTGTCTTACATGCGTCAACAGTTGGTGTTTCACCGTTTTTTGTTGAAAACATCAGCGAATTACAACTGTCTGCCCTGAAACTTGTAACCACGGTGAGTTTGTCTCAAAATAAACTTAATTTTTTTCGTTTATTTTACCCTTACTGTCTATAAAGTCCACTGCTGAGCATAGACCTCCCTTATAGGCGTCTCATAGGGGGATTTTTGCCATAGCTGCCATGCTTGGCAAGCGAGTTGGCAACCGCAGCTTTTTATAATTTTGAATTTTTGTTAGGAAGATGCTGCTGCCCATCTCTTGTTCCAGTTTCTATCACTCCTCACACGACTCCTATGGGATGCTATGAATATTCTTACACCGTCACTATACGGTATCTTATTTACTAGCCTGTTATAAACCTATGTCTTTGATGGCTTGGAGTCATTTTTCACGCCGAAAAAATACATCTACACAATGAGCAGAGTAGAAGTGAGATCAAGTCAAGATACAAAATAAATAATTTGTTTGAATTTCTATAATATGAAACCAAAAGTATAATAATTAATAACTATGTCTTTTTTTTTAAATATTAACAATGCTATAAACATTACTAATATTCCCCTTAACCACTCGTGGTAAGCTTAAATTGCTTGTGTTACGAGTGGTTCACGCCAGTAGTCTAATGGCGGATTTGATCCCACGACCTTTTTGAGTTCGCGGTCCGCGCCCTGCCATTAGGATACTGTCGCTTCATATGTATAGTAGTAGTAGTACGTTTCTAGGGCAGGCGGAAAAAAGTACATTGACCTCAAGTATTATGTTAGCATCGAAACAAAACGACAGTTAATGCTTCCATACATTTCTTTATACGTATCGTTATGCGCTAAGCGTGTCTCATGTTACGGGGTAGGGTGAAGGAAGCGGTCATTCAGAGATAATAAACCTGTTTCGACGCGATTTGCGATAGGTCTCACGCCGTGCGTATTTGAGAAAGCGGATGGAGCAGAACTCATTCATCATTCTGCTTTGTGGGATGCGCTTAAGTGTAGACTGTAGATAGTTTGAGATTTAAAATTTTCGGTTATAGTAGTTGTTTTAATTTTTATTAAGTTTGTTTTGATAGTTGTATTATTACGTTTTGTATTAAAGTTTTTGTTATTGTTTTGTGATGTTTTGTATATTATCACTAGTATGAAATCAAGTCCATCGACATGAAAATCTCATAAAGACTTTACATCACCACGAAAGAAGCGGAAAGTGTTGCATATTTCGGAAACCAAAGAAATAATGATTGTAAACATCTATAAGTATGTAAAAGAAACGTGGTCTAGTGACGTATATCCATCCAAAACGGATATGAAAAAGAAGACTGCCAATATTTTAGGTTATAATCAATGTGACGGACTCTTCTACGTCTTCATCATCATAAAATGATTCTGAAATAGATACAGATGAATAGTCTGTCAAGTGTCGCTGACAATCTATTATGAGAAGTTTTATGCATGCTTCAAGGTTGGTCTGTCAAGTGTCTCTGACAATCTATTATGAGAAGTTTTATGCATGCTTCAAGGTTGGCTGCTTAAGAATGCTTAGCATTAAAAGTTCGTCTTTTTACCTGACTGCCAAGAAGTGGTTATGTTTTATACAACAACCTACCTACTTATTAAAGTACTTACGTACTATTAACGTAATAATGATAATTGTAATAACTCATGATTTATATTATGAATTAATTGATGAATTAATTTAGGTACAGGATAATCTTTTTTCTTTAATATATAATAATAGACATAGGGCCTGTAAAGAACTTCGCATTCGGCACCCTTATCTTTAACTCTGATGACTATGTAATGATAAAAGGATAAAAAATGAACCTAAACGAAAAAGATTGCCTACCCCGATGATATCGTCAAGGTCAATGTACTTTTTTCCGCCTGCCGGGCTAGCATGAGCCGGAGAGAATATATCCCCGGAGAGAGGATATAATTTTTATCCCTTGCTTAGTTTTATCCACCATGCGAGTATGGGCAAGAGACAAAAATTATATCCCCCGATTATATCCACTGACAAGAGATAAAATTATCTTATCTCTATAGTATATCCCCGTTGGACATAACGAGTGGACATATATCTCCCCGTCCGTAGCATGGGGCCAAGGGAAAGAGAAAAAATTATCCCTTTTTGACATTTGAAAGGGACAATTTTATCCTCTTTTGCGGACGTGGGTTTAAGTTTATCTTCAAACCATTTTAATACAAAAAAAGATGTCTCGAGCCTATTGCAACTACATTTTAGTGTCAGAAATTGAAAAACAAGAAAGAGAATTACATCAGCGATCGATACGTGATCAAAATACTTAATCTATTGGAATTCTCCGACAACGAATTTCTACGCCGGTTTCGGATGCTCAAAGATTGTTTTGTATTTGTGTAAAGAACTCTATGAGGCTTTAAAGCCTATTAATTCTGTGGATGGACTACCAGTGCATATTGAAACAACCACTTTGTCCAAAAAAGTCACAATAGCAAAAAGTCACAATCGCATGATTTAATTACATAGGTTGTGTCAACAATACCCAAGGCGAGTCCATGGTCAAGTCAAATTTAATGATAATAGAATCGGTCTATACTATATTTTAGGTAAGTATTATAACGTTTTAAAATAAAGTTATCAAACTTAGTAAAGTTACAATTCAAAGGTTTAAATTAAGAAATATGTTAATTCTTTAGCAAAGCTTGCTAAATATACTATACTCATGATTATAAAATTATTTATTCCTTGTTTTGTTTGAAATCATTACATTTTTATTCTTCATTCTTCATCATTTTCAATTAAAATTAAATCTTTGTGACTTAGAGTAGACATCAATTTTGATGTATTTTGTAATTTTCTTATAATGGCAGTAATTGCGGGGATAATTTTTTTTTAATTTCCTCAAGAGGTTACACCACCTCCAAAGGGTCTGTATTGTCCAGTTTCGCAATTGGCTTAATTCTAGACACATTTTTTAATAAATGCTATCACAAGCGAAGTAATACCTGCGATTTGATACAAGCAATGTATACTTAAATATTATACAAAAGAAAATAAAGAAAGAATTAGAATAATAGAAAAAATAAAAACAAGGCAGAAATACGCTTAAAATAAATATAACAAATATTATAAATGACATATTGTTTAACAAAAATTATTAACAGTTTAGCATTATAATAAACAAAAGGTAAAAGAAAATATAAGTTAATGTAAATCTACTTAATCTTAAAGGAAGTTTATAGCTAGTATAGTTTATAGCTTTATACTATCGTACAAAGATGTTTTATAAAACATCTTTGCTATCGTATATTATCTATGCGCGGGGATAAGTTTATCTACTGTCGATATTATATCCACCATAAGCCCATGCTCGCAGGGTGGATAAAGCTTTGACATAGGGATAAGACAATTTTATCCCTTGTCAGTGGATATAATCGGTGGATAAAATTTTTATCCCCTGCTCATGCTAGCCCGGCTGCCCCAGAAACGTACTATAGTATGAAACTACGCGTTAAGGGTTTAATTTGATGGGGCCACTGGGTCGCAATTACGTAAAACGGATTGAACAAAAAACGTAAATCACACTACTAAAGTATACAATAGAATGATTTAGGTTTCTTGTAATCTTTACATATAAAATTACGTGTCACATGTTTGTCCCTAACTCTACGAACTCCCTAAACTACTGAATTTTAATGAAATTTTGTAATGTGTATTGCTTGCTCTAACTTGAGAGATAGGATAGTTTTTATCCCGATAAGTGACTCTCAATATTTTTTATTTCAAATTTAATGATTTTTATACGACAAAGGGTCACTGGAAAAGTATTATATAATACTTTTCCGGTGACCCTTTGTCCTATAAAAAGTAGTATTATATAAAAACGCCTGGGTCATAGGACTTCTTTTCTGCTTATGAATCCGTCTGAGTACACTCTCTCACGTGTTTCCGACGCCAAGTCTGTCGGTCCGGGACCACAGAGAGTCCGTATAATTACAGATTTCGAGTCATGCATACTTATCCACAAATATTACTATAATAACTTAATCATAAATAACCCTATACAGACCGACGACACTGCGTTAATTATATTGTACGTGTTGTTAAAGTAGCTCACTAGCTACTTTACGCTACGCATAGTGCAGCAAATCAACATGAATGTCAAACTAGTAGTTTATTTTGCTGAGGCAATCAGTGATATGAATTGAATTCTTGTTATATTTTCATCGAATTTGTTTAGTTTGCTTTGTTTTCCGATGGATTACAGTAGTAAAGACGAATTATCATTACATCCTTGAGAGAAAGTGATACTTTCAAAGTTATTTCAATGAGTATAATGCCAAATACTTTTCAAATCGCTGTAGATTTTTTAGAAGATATTGTTATATATGAACAAGGGTAAAGAATATATAAATCACTACGCATATATTATTTTTATATATCAGTAGGCTTAAACACGGGTCAACACAAGTGAAGTTGCATCAGAATGTTAACCAATCACAGGCCCCAATTCAATGCTATGCATGTAGTTTTGACTCTTAAAAGTAATGTATGTGAATAAGGACATCATCTGTGCTCAGAGGTGACCACCAGTCTTTATTTAAAGTTGGTTGCAGGTGTCCATGGGCTAGTAGTTACCATTAGATAGATTGTAAGTTTGTTGGTCACTTCAATTTTATGATAAAATTCTACCCCTGGGATAAAAACTTCGCCCGTTACGAAATTTACATTACATCTCAGCGCCAATTTGATCGGCAAGCCAGTACCAACATAATATTTGTACAATAATTCCACTTGAAGTGTTGGGATATGTCTTGCACACTTATGTGAAATATGGAAGGGTGTAATTAAATTGTTATGATAAAAGTAGTTAGTTCAGTATTTATTTTTTATTTTGTAGATATTCTCAAAATATGAACAGCACCGACGACTTTTACTAGAGGATATTTTGGCTTCAATAGCTCGTATACCAAGTTCCAAGCACAATTTGCGCTCATTCCAACTGAGTTCAGATCAGCATATACAAATGTTGACCGCTCTGGTACTTCAGCTTGTGCAGTGTGTCGTCACTTTACCGGAGACAATGTGTAAGACACAGGATAAGGAACACAGTGATACCGATAGCAAAAAAGTAAGTAAATTTGAATGATATAAAACAAAACATAACTTTTTTGTAAATTGTCGCTTTGAAATCTTTTAAATTGAATTTTAGGATTTTTTTTAGTAAAGTCCAATTACTCATCTACTAAATACAAAGAAAAGAGATTTTTTTTTAAAGAATACTAGTCATATTAATAACTTTACTAAATGCTTCCGTTAACCACTCCCAGTAAATTTAAAACGATTGTGTTACGAGTGGTTTACAACAGCAGTGGAATGGCGGAATTAAACCTACGTCTTCACAAGTTTGCATTCACATCTTTAATCATTATCTTACTGTCGGTTCAACTATCGCAATAACAACACTACATGACGGCTCCGTGGCGTAGTGACTTAGCAATGAGTTCGCAACTCATTGCGTTGAGGGCCGCGGGTTCGAATTCCGCACGGAACAAGTATTTGTATGGCCTACAAATAATTGTTCCAGGTCTGAATTTTTGTCCTTGTGAAATTTATATATGTAAACTGTCTCCACGATACTGAAAAAATAGTTAAAATATATAAAATCGTGTGGGTATAATTTTTTTTAAACCGGTTTCATCGAGCTAGTAATGTTTCTTTGTGAAATTTTATTATATAATATTGATTATAATAATACAGACTGGATTTTTTTAATTTATGCAAACTAATGAACATTCATCTTTATTTCTGCTTTTGCCTACTGAGAAGTTAGTAACACTTATGGATATTACATTCGCTATACTGTTCTAAGTTATTTACGGCGCTTTGATAAACGCCTGTCTGCCTCTTATTGGCAAAGAAATCACAAAGTGGGTACTTTTTAGAATTATGACATTTTAAAATGTCCGACGACGTAATGATAACCTAATATAAAAACAATCGAAAGTTGACAAGGTTTTAACAGACAGAAATCTAATATTATATTATTATTGGCTTTTAATCTTTTTTATATGTTGTGTTTTAGGCATCGCATAATAATTAAATACTGTGATTTCTTATTGCAGCATGTTGACAAAGACCTTCTAATAATATCCAAGTACGAGGCGGCAATTAGTGTAGGTGGTACATTTCTCACATCATTCCTAAATAAATGCCGAAGCCGTTCAGAAGAAGTTGACTTCAGGCCCCTGTTTGAAAATTTCGTGCATGACTTGCTCACCACTGTAAATAAACCTGAGTGGCCTGCTACGGAATTATTGCTCAGCCTGCTTGGAACAATGCTGGTAAGCCAACAAATTTTTAATTTCGTTAGTAGTTGAACAGTGCCGTAAAATTGGTAACTGTTAATACAAGTTCTGATTAAGCTATAGCTTAGGAATGTAAAGAGGATTTCACAATTGTTTTCCAAAGGTAAACTGTATCTGCACCTACATAACGCATCCTGTTACTTAACTAACAAGCTCCGGCGGCATATATTTTATACGTATATTTTGTGATGAGAAGCGTTCACAGATTACCCCCTAATAGATACCATAACATAAAATATTTGTTCTGTTTCGATTTTACCGAATCTCGCGGCATGCATGAGTTGCGGGGGACGTGTCAAATACGTTGTGGTTGGATAGTTCAAATTTGAACTTAAAATGCTCCGAACTATAGTGACGGGACAGGGTTGTCACGTTAGGATTTATTGATTATTGATAAATTAATATGGTCACGGGGGGGGGGGGTTACTGAGATGTTTGATGTCTCAATGTCATAGTTAGCCCGGCTACCTTCAGCTTTTGAATATTGATTTTTGGTCCGATCTACATAGAACGAGCTTACAGTATTTTGAAGTCTTGCAGTGGTATGCTTGGGTTTAGGTAGATTTTGCAGATTGCAGGTGGTAGCACCCATCCATCGACTGTGGCCGGCTTCACTCGGTCGCTGTGACGTAGGCGTGGGACCCAAAGCTTGTTGTCTTGCAATACTTGCTTGACGTGCTGAAGCTCGGCGGCCAGATGTTTTCTGTCACAAATCCCTTGTGCTCTCTGAAACAAAAATTTACCCACGGTAGCTAACTGTGAAGAATGATCGTTAGATTCACCATTTAAATATCGGTTGGTATAGGTCTTTTTCTTATACGTAATGTGACCAATAGTGTTATCAGGATTTCGGATGACTAAAACATCTAGGAAAGCTAAAGAATTATTTGCCTCTAACTCCATTGTGAGTTGTATTTTAGAGTTTATGGAGTTAAGGTGGTCTAAAAATGCAGTTGCTTTGTCAGATGGTGAAATTGTGAAAGTGTCGTCTACATACCGCTTGTAGAATTTAGGATTTAAAGGAGTAGTAAGAAGGGCTTTCTCCTCAAAGTCCTCCATGAATATGTCTGAAACGAATATGTCGTGAAAACAATTGAAGTCCGCCAACACGTATTGGGGCAGCATAATGAACACTTCTTTCTCTTAAACTCTTAGATGAAGTCTTTGCCCAGAAGTGAGATGTATATAAACTTATACTTATCAAATGTTACTTTACAGGTGAAATACATGTCGGACAAGTCGATGGAGATGTCGGTGCGTGTAGCGTCGCTGGAGTACCTGGGGCTGGTGGCGGCGCGGCTGCGCAGAGACAGCGTACACTCGCGTGCCAAGCTCGCCACCATGGACGCCGTGGTGCGCGACATCCGCGCCGAGGAGGAGAAGGACTCCGGACACACCCAGGTGCACCATACTCCTCCCATACCGGTCTCTGTGCCTCTCCTTGCCACGCGTGGACTCTTTGTTTACTATCGACCTAGTATCATTTCTTAATAGAATACATATATATATATATTTAAACATTAAGATTTTCTCCTGTATCGTAGAGGCAGTTTACATACATAAATTACACAGGCACAAACATCCAGACCCGGAACAATTATTTATAGGCCATACAAAAACTTGTTCCATGCGAGATTCGAACCCGCGGCCCTCAGCGCTATAACTCATTGCGAAGCCACTACGCCACGGAGCCGTCCAACACAACAACGCCTGTCACCCAGAGGGGTAGGCAGAGACTACAGACTCATTTGGCACAATTCTGACACACCTCTCACGCCTCCTCCACTTCCATATACCCTCGCATACATGCTTGTTGATTAAGGGTACTCTTAATTTGACCCATTCAATATATCACCTTTCTACCTTAGATTTTAATAGAATACTTTTTCATATTAGGGTGGCTATTATGAAAAAGGACTGTGCGATTTATTTGATTTTTATATTAATAAAAAACTATCATGTAGAGATTTCAAATGGTTATGAAAGCATCTTTTGACGTAATATGCTAATATACAAAAAAAATGTAGATAAATTACTACTATAGTATGTGCCAAAACCATTGCGAAAAACGGACAATGACCTCAGATATGAGCCGAGTGACAAAAGGCGTAACTTACAAAATCTCAATTTAGACGTGATAACAATATTTAAATATTGATATTATTCACACTTCTAGGTCAGCACATATGTTTTGTCAAACATCGTAAAATCTTACGGTACATCGCGAAAAATGTGTTATATTTTATATTTCAATTTATGGTAAGTAACGCAGCAATTCATTTAATAACTGTTTCATATTAAAAAAAAGTATTTGAAGCAATATAATCACCATATTGAGCTTTTGCAAATTAATGCCTTTAATATAAACAAAACGCGCGTTACATCAGTTCGTTCTAAAAGAAAAGTGACAATGACAGCCAGAGATGCGTCACTTTTTTGGGCCGGCCCGCATGCACCAAATAAAAGTTCTTATTATATTAGATATTGAAAATAAAGTTTTATCTTTTAAATAAGTATGTACTTATTCGGTGTCGTTATCACTCGAATCTTTATATGTGTTATAAATTAATGCTTTTTGTTGTTAAATGAATAAAGTACTTTATAACAATAGATGATTTTTCTTCTACAGCTATTTTTACATAACTTTTTAATAATAGTTAATAAATATATAATAATATAATATAATCAATCAATATAAAAAAATAATAAATAATCATTATAAATAAAGAAAGTACTACATATAAAATGTGCCTATATATTGAAGGTTTGTAACCCCTGGTTAAACGACCGAAAAGTCATTGTCCGTTTTTCTCAATCGATTTGCCACATACTATAAATTGCTACATTAGAATCGCGTTTATCTCTATACTTAAAATATGGACTGTAATCTAGAGCAGCTTCCAAGTGTTCCTGTTCAGCAGTGTGGAGCATATAGTGTGCTGATTATGATTATGACTGCAAGTAACTTAGTGGTCATTCTAATTTTATTCAAAAATCTATTGTTTATGGGAAACAAATCTCTGCAATGTACTAGACAAAATGCTTTTAAAAGCTGTTATTCGTTCATTTTGTTCTTTCCTACTCTAGGTGGTAGGATTCGTTTTCTGTCTGTAAGTTTGAACAGGTACCACCACCTCTTTACCCATTTCTGCCGATAAAAATCAGTGCATACACTGGTTCCGATGTAAATGGTATAGGGAGCTAGAATAGTTACAGGCTGAGAGGCATGCCATCTTTGTCCTGAGTGGTAACAATGCATCTGTAACTTTCTGTGCTTAAAGTTGGTTGCAGGTGTGAGGTAATTGGATATGACCTCAACTATTCAATTTATTCGGAAGTAACACAATTACTAACAGACAAACTATTTATAATAAATTTAGATTACCTTGACTGCGATTTATATAACATTTTTTTTAAATTACAGACTGTTGTAAAGAGCCGTGGTAGCTCAGTGGTTATCGCTCGCTGTAAATATAACAGAACGCGAGTAACCCGGGTTCGATCCCCGCCGGCACTAATGAAATTGTTAATTGCAATTTTAAGTGCTGATTTACAACGTGCTCGGCGGTGAAGGAAAACATCGTGAGGAAACCTGCATGTCTGAGGAATAAGAAAAAAAATATTTCGAAGACATGTGAAGTTCGTCAACACGCATTTGGGCAGCGCGGCGGACACTTTCTTGCCCTAAACCCTCTCAGAAATGAAGGGGAGGCCTGAGCCCAGCAGTGGGACGTATATAGGCTGTAACTTTACTTTATTTTTTTTTTACAGACTGTAACATCAGGACTTGATGAGGACGAAGAAAGAACGGAATTTTTGCAGCGAGTATTACTTGACTATTTAGCAATCAATGGGCAAAAGGACCAGGCATGGAATTGTGCGCGACATTTTTACATCACACAATGGTACAGAGATATGGTTGTACAACCCAAAGCATCACCTACAAAAAGGCCAAAAAACAAGTCAAAGAAACGCTACAAAGATGAGACTAGTGAAGAGGAATCAGATCCAGATGATGATAGCGACAGTGGTATAAAAGATTCAAAGTCAGACAAAAAACATGTCTCAAGTGCTGTTATGTCGGCAGAGAAGTTCAAAACCCTAGAGCGGAGAAAACAGTTTTTCCTTGAAAAGATCAGACCATTTAGGTACCAGGGTGGAACTCAGGTCCAAGTAATGCAGTCGTACATCGACTATAGTGGGGCGGAGTTGATATCACAGTATCTCGCTTCAAAGAGGTCATTCTCACAAAGTTTTGATAGGTATCTTCGGAAGATTTTGGTGATTCTTTGTGAGAATACAATAGCGATTCGTACTAAAGCGATGAAGTGTTTGACAATGATAGTGGAAGCCGATCCATCAGTGTTGGCCCGGCCTGATATGCAGATAGGAGTAAACCGCTCATTCTTAGACCAATCAACTGCAGTACGTGAGGCTGCCGTGGATCTTGTCGGCAAGTTCGTCTTAAGCCGACCCGATCTCATCGACAAGTACTATGGCATGCTTTCAAACCGAATATTAGTAAGTTTTATATGTTACTTATAAAAGATTCAGACTTTTAACTTGATATTATATTAATGATAAAATTACTATTTATTATGATCAGTACAATTTCTAGCTCAGCTTTCATGTTAAAAAAGGGCCATCGCAGCCTATAAAAAACTCAATATCAACTTTTCTCAAAACCATTACATTTATTTTATGTCATATACTAGCCTTTTTTTTTAAATTTAAACACCTCACTTTTTACTTTGATAGTGTTGAGTCATTACTCCTTACAGAATTAACACCCAATAATATTTAGATATCGCTTAATCACATAAATTATTATTACATCTATACATACATTACATAAAATTGAAGTAATATCAAAATAATTGCCTTCTATTAAGCTCAAGGGGTTATTAGCGGGCGATTGTATGAATAAGTTATTATTGTCTCTCTGGGCTAACCTCCAAAATTTTTTTTTATATAGAATAAGGGTGACAAACGAGCACACAGTCCACCTGATGCTAAGTGAATGCTGTGGCCCATGGACATCTACATTTATCCTCGATTTAGAATCAAAATTCAGATGCGTTGTCACCTCTGAGGACTAAGATGGAATGTTTCGTTCCCCGTAAAAAAGGGTCTCTGGAACTCTACACTCACCATACGAAACACAGCAGTATTAAGATGCTATTTTATGCTGGTATTCTATGAGAGTGTGGCCCTTCCCCGGTCGAGCCGACCCATTCATGCTACAACTATAATATAGCTGCAGCCACATATGAATCAATTGCAATGAAACTTCACAACTTCATGCAATATCAGGAGTGATTTAGGCTATATAGTTACCAAGGATCCATGGATTCTCCATGTTTTTTTGTGAATTGAAAAACTAATAAAATCAATACTTTCTAATGATTATTTTGGAAGCTATAAGACGTATAAAAACTTTCGAACAAAACTGTTTTGTTTTGCAATTATACACAAAGAGATCCTCACACAAGGATAGGAAATTGGATTGGATTGGAGGATAGGAAACCTATCTCTTAGTTTTGATGCAAAATTAATTTCAACCTTCTTTTGAAGTGAAAACTTCTTTAGAATTTTGTGATTTATAACTCGATGAAATGAAAAAGCGACACTAAAAAGAAACAATCATTTACATCTATAAGATTTAGCCTACGAGAGAAAGATGGAATACAGTGTAGACCCCGAACTCAAGAGGTTGTTGATTCGAATCCACCATTCAACTACTGGCTCTTTTTTGCCTTTTTATAAATAAATTCATGTATTTAATTTATTTTTCAGGACACTGGTGTTTCGGTAAGGAAACGTGTGATTAAAATTCTCAAAGACATTTGCATTGAATGTCCGGAGTTCCCGAAGATACCGGAGATATGCGTGAAGATGATCAGACGGGTGAATGACGAGGAAGGAATCAGGAAACTGGTGATGGAAGTGTTCCAGAACATGTGGTTCAGCCCGTGCCCCAACACGTCGCGGCCGGGCGCGCTCGACATGACGGCGGCCGCGGCCGACCCGCTGACGCGCAAGGTGCTCAACATCACCGACGTCGTTATATCCTCCAGGGATATGGGCCTAGAATGGTTTCATCAGCTCTTGACCAGCGTAAGTCACTTTTCCTCATACATCCTTTACACCACACAACAATTCTGTTTTTTTTTTAAACTGAATTCAAAATGGGAGAGATACTCAATTCAACTGTTTTTTTGTGTGTTAGCTCAGAACTTTTTTTTAGAACCAATTTTGATGATTTTTGTTTGGTGCTTCTCATGTGGTCCCATATAAATTTCGTCGAGATCTGCGTATTTGTGTTATAACGCGTATTTAATTAACTTTGACTACATTGATGATGTTCTCATTATATTTATATTGAAGTCGGTTGTACAAATTTTTTAATTTTACCACTTGTTTAGGGCTCTTAATTTTTAATAATGACTGAATAACACATTTTATTTTAGACGCAAATGGATATTTATGGGTGATTTAACGGGTTGTAGGAAGAGTAGACATTAACCCTTATTATATTACTTCATAACATGTTATTTTATTTATTTATTTAAAAAAATATACGTCGCCAAACTAAAATACAGTTTATTTACGACAAAGTGAAAGATTTGCTAGACTTGAATAAATAATATTTTGTGTATAATGGAGTTGACTTATTAAAATATCAATTTTTGTCAAATTAGTGCAAACTCAGTTTTAATATTAAACTTATTACCCGTTTTTTAACACTACATTTAAATAAATTTGATTTTATTGTATAAAAGTTACATCTGAAATGGGTAGTTAAGGGCAAGTGATGGTGGTACTGTAAAATGTTTTGTACAATATTAAGTTCCGATAGTTTTCAGTTGTGGCCATTTTTGAAACTGAATACTTGTAGGATAATGCCATGTGCCTCGACATTCTTAATATATTGAAAAATGATTTTTGTAGCTATTCAAGCCTAAGGAGGACAAAGAGGATTCAACAAAAATTATTTATCAGCCGCCCAAATCACTTTTAGTTGCGTGTCAACAAATCGTCGATTGCCTTATAGAAAATTTACTACAGTTGGAAGAAACCAGTGCTGAAGGTAAACTAGCATTATACTGAAGTTGTTTTTTATTTCTTTACCCAGCATAACACATTTACACATTTTTTTTAGAAATTTAAATCTGTCATGTATGTTATAAATTGTTATAGTGGATGTGATGAGACAGTTGCAACGAAGGACTTAAGTAGAAATCATAAACTGGTGTAAATTTGCATCTGAAGTGCAGCAAATCATTAAAATTATCAATTTCACATTAAAATTGCTGAAGTTCATATTTACATTACATTTTCTTACTAAGGACTAGTTTTTATTTTTATATCTAACTGTCCCTTTCAGGTACTGGATCTTCGCAGCGAATCTTGGCGTGCCTTTCTACATTGCATTTATTTGCAAAAATTAGACCACAACTTCTAGTTAATCATGCATTAACACTGCAACCGTACCTGAGCTTAAAATGTCAGGTATTTCGGTTTCGTTTTCTTCTTAGGTTAATTTACATATTATGACAGATGTAGAATATCATTTACATATTAATAGTTTACGTTTCTCGCACTTTAAAGGTAAGAGTCTAGTCAAAATTTATTTAATTATGGTATGATTTCTTTCTTAAGTATTACATAATAGATGTATAGATCAGAATAATTTTGATCTTAAGCATTTACTAAATTAATATTAATAATTATCTTAATTATGTAATCAATATTATAAATAATTATCCTTGTCACTTTTTAAGTGAGTTTGCCTTGTGGTGGAGACATAAAGTAATCCATGGCCTCATTTCGTTCGTTGTGTTTCGTAATCGGACCAAAATCTGCATTTTGGGTTTTCTGTCAAGAAATTCTCAGCAGCAGCCCATAGAAATTCGTTGGCGATGTTTCATCCCCGTGCCTCGAAAAGTACCTAAAGCCATTGTTCATGCGCCTGTGCCTATTGCCTACGGGGATTGCCCGTCCCATCGCCCGAGCTTGTGCAAACAATCGTACACTGTACCTAAAGACATACATTCCTCTCAATACATTTATGAAAATGGAATTATGTACACAAAATAAAAGTAGTTTTGCAAAAATAAGTGATATTCATTCTGTAAATACTAGGAAAAGACCCAAGCTAGTAGTACCAGTTACTCGACTCCACCGAGTCAGTAATTCATTCTTGGGGCGATGTATACGCTTTTACAACAAAATCCCAGAAAATATACAAAATTTGTCATACACAAAATTTTTATTAAACCAAGTTTGTATAAAAAATTAATAACCCCTGGGAAGGGTGATCGCTACCAAGCTATTTCTAATTTGTCTTGTGTTGTTAATTGTAAACATGATTGTAAGCTATTATTTGAAAAAAAAAATAGTCCCGCTGGGTTTCTTGCTGGTTCTTCCCAGGACATAGGTGTTTTTTTGCGAACCAGTGGTAAATGAAAAGTGACTTTCCATAAGTATTGTTTATAATCTACATTGAATAAAAAAGTTTTTGTTTCTGTAATCTTTTCCTGCACGGATCACAGAACTGAGACGGTTAAGACTGGCCGTCATAACCGAAATGTCATTGTCATTGTAGTCGCCTACCGGCCTGCCCAGCAGCGTAGTGATTATGGCTAATCCTTTTCACTGTCAGGGACGTTCAGTTCTGGTAGTGCAGTGATGCACAGACTTATTAAGACTAGGGGCCACTCGAGTAAACTATGAACTGATGGCGGGCCGCCAGGAGTATAGGTAATTAAAGACAATAAACAATTGATAATAATGTATTAAAATTGAAAAAGAATTTATTAATTTGAAGCGTGGCACTGCATAGTGCTTACAATCTTTTTTATATTTGGCTCAAATTTACTTGTAGCAACACGTAAAACTGCTTCCAAACTTTCATTTGCAAGGCGGTTTCGATTTTTTGTTTAAGTAAAAGGTTTGTTCACATATATAGGTAGAACCAAATAAGCTGGACATTTCAGAGTGTTTATGCGCAACTCTTTGTACGTATTTTTATCAATGCAGCGGTAAAAGTTCAGCAAGTCTCCTTCGTTGAATTTGTTGCGTAAATCTCGGTCGTTTCGAATGTCGATAATTTGTATCTGCATTAACTCTGGCGCATTTTCAACTGAAATCGTGAAAGGATTGCTGAATATGTCCAACAGAGGTTTCACTTTTTTAAAACGAAAATCTGTCTTGAAAAGATTGAATCAAAATATCTAGCTTTTCTACATACTGAAATTAATCGCAGTTTTGTTGAATTTTTTCATCCATTTTCTTATAATTCCATGATTGTAATTTCCAGAATTCATTGCGATCTGAAAAGTGTCAGCTTGCATTGAAAGATGATAGGCGAAATCGTCTTCAATCACCACTTAGCCACCTTACTTTAACAGTAAATCTCCATATTGTGTCCAAGGAAGTTTGAATGACCTCTATTTGTCAGTCGAAACTAACACTTTCATGACATTTTGAAATTCAATTTTTTTAGAACAGAGGGCTTCTTGGTGTATAATGCAGTGAAACTGCATGAGATCTTCAGCGTTTATGTCTTTTTTCTTGCAGATGCTTTTTCAGCAAAGTAACTAGCCCAGAATTGACACCAATCATCGAAGGAGCACCGTCAGTCGCAACTCCCGATAATTTTGATGTCCAAATCAGTTTTTGAACACTCATCCAAAAGTACATTGAGTATTTGATATACTATAACTTCTCTGGTTTACCTTTAATGAACACATTCCTAATAACTCTTCTAAGACTTCAAAATCTTGAGTAACACCTCGTATGAATATCAGAAGTTGAGCTGTGGAACTAATATCAGTGGATTCGTCGAGTGCTAATGAAAAAAATTCAATGATCTCAGTTTTTTCATTTAATTGTTCCGCAATATTACCTGACAAAGATATAATTCGTCTTTGGATAGTCATACGATTCAGTTGAATTTTCTCAAACTTTTTTACTGCTTCTGGACACATTTTCTTAGCGGCATCTATGCATTCTTTTACAAAATTCCCATCATTGAAGGGGCGACTTCGCTTTGCTATCATTCGAGAAATTTCATAACTAACTTCTGTAGCTGTTTCTGAATCTTGAATGGGTTTTGTAAACATAGCTTGCTGACCAATAAGCTCCCGTTTTAAAGACAACATTTTTTGCTTTCTTAATTCGCCTGTAAGGGTTTTTTTTTTTTTCATTTTTTCTTTTCATCCTTCCTTGGTCTGGCTTCTTTTACGTTGGGTTGCTCGAAAACTACATGTTTTATGGTTTTTCCAGGCGATATCGTAACGATGTGAGGAGATTATTTGCTGAAAATTAGGGCTTTAGAAAGATGAAGTCTTTATTTAGTACATAGCAGTGCAAAATCATAGTTTTTAATGACGGTTTTTTAGGGCGAAGACAATCCCTTCACAGCGTTTTACGAAAATATGCATCAGAGTTATCTTTCAGGTTGAATACAACCATTATTATAAGCTAAAATACTTTATTTTAAGCGTTATTATAATGGAATATATAGTCTTTTAGTGTATAGCAAAACTTAAATTACGAAAATATTTTAATTTAATATTATAAAATAATATTATAAAATCACCAAAACTGTCTACTTCAATGTAATTTTTTCCGTGTATTTGGTTATAAACATATCTATTTTAATTATTTTATCCAAACACATGTAATGTTAAATATCCCAAAAAATTTTAGCTCGTTTTATTTAGTCAATTATTTTATATAATTATTTTAAAAATACTATAAATCATCATGCGCAGACGCCGTTCGATTCAGTAATCTCCGGGTAATTCAAAACGACAGGACGTATTACTTTTTCTCACCAACACCGCGCGATCGCGTTGATACACCTATAGGGCTATACTACACTATACTATAACTAGAAATACCTATAGCACCATCGAGCATTTTAAACGATTGAGACTTTTGAAACGACGTAAGTAATTTTGAAATATGTTTATGATAGTAATATTTAAATATGATGTAATGGTGGCAAATCTTCATTTCATACATATTTTTTTAGAAATGAGTAATGAACGTAAGCAATTCGGATCAAGTAAAAATACAAAATCGTTGGCTTTCACCTTTGCTCCGTGGCGGAGTGACTTGGTAATGAGTTGTAGCGCTGAACGCCGCGGGTTCGAATCCCACATGGAACAAAAATTTGTATTACCTACAAATAATTGTTTTGTACTTGTGAAATTAATGTATTTAAACTGCCCCCACGATGTACTTAGGAAAAATTCCTAGTGTGGAGATAACGTTATGATTAAACAAAGACATGCCATCAAAAACATAACTTGTAAAATAACCAAGTCTCGCAATGATTATACGGCCGTGCCGCTGTTTTGTTCCACTTGGTGCCCCCAGATATAAAACATATGATCCGTGCTTGAGTTGAGTAGCTCAAGGGCGCAGTGCTCGCCGTAAACGCGAACAATCCGGGTTCGATCCCCGCTAGTGTTGCCAGGTGTCCCGATTTTCAAGGGTCTAGTGACACGTCCCGATTCACCCTTGATCGGGACGCCAAATGTCCCGATTTTCACTAACCTTCTTATTCTATACTTTAATCCATAATTTTGACAGCAAAAATGATTACATCTGTTAGCTACTACCACATTAAAATATTTTTACTACGACATTGTCTCACCAGTCGAAAAAAAAACACACAGAAGTTTTAAACAGAATTATATTAAAATGAGTGATTTGAAAACTTCAGGGACTGCAAAAAAAAAAAACAAATAGTTCAAAAATGTTTTAATTTACCTAAAATGAAAAAAAAAAACAGTTTTTACGATGTTTGGATGAAAAGTTATTCGTTCATGAGATCAGACCTGATTAAATAATTATAAAGCACAAAAGTAAAGTAAAGTTACAGTCACAATTTCTCGCATTACTCGCATACTGTCATATTTACAGTGAGCGTTGGACATATTTGAATATGCGCTCTTAACGTAGCACCTAAAAACAATGACAGTACCTACTTAAATTACCCATCCTTTTTTAAATTACCAAAAATAATTGATTAAATAGGTAGGGAAACACTTATTAATAACAGAGTATTACTTACGATTTCACAACACAATTATACACGGCACTTGACGGGAATTCTACGTTGAATGTGGATCAAAATATATGACACCGGCTAGTGGAGTTAAAATTTACACTACAAATTAAAACCGAACTGTCGGTCGCTGCGGTTAGAGTCGCTTTTATACCGCGCGTATAGAGTCGAAAACTGTCTGGAGAAATCACGAAACCGACTCCGGAAGCTTCGTGTATGTATCTACGCGAGCAATCGGGAATTCGGGACTATTGCTATCTCGCTTGCTCTAACAATATAACCCGTGGATAAGCCGCCACCGCGCTGCCGTCGTCGCCGCGCCGCCGGCCGCGGCGGTTCCTCAAGAAAACGAATTTAACCGAGATCAGCACGAACATTACCGACCGCTGTTACCGACGCATGCACGGCGCGCTTAAGAGCGCGTGCGCGATATTCGAATTACTTTTCGAACATTTTTTTTTGGTTTTATTCTGGATTATAATTCAATATTTTTCGAACGTACGAGAGTATTATTTTTGCTGTCGGCGGGCCACCAGTATTCAACCGCCGGGCCGCATGCGGCCCGCGGGCCGCGGTCTGTGCATCTACGTAGTAGTGGATTTTATAAAGAAGATAATTTTTCAACAAATTATATTTAAAAAAAAAATTAGTTAAACGCATAATAAACAGGATAAGATATCAAAAAAGCTTATACAGTCCAATACATAAAAAATTAGCTACATAAATTTTAAAGTATAATTTATCTTGCAGAATCAATACGAGCAACAGATAATGTCGACGGTGGCGTCCACCCTGGAGCTGGTCGTTCCGCTGATGGAGCACCCAAGCGAAGTGTTCTTAGCGCAGTTGGAGGAAGATGCTGTGAAACTGATCCTACAACGTGGTCAGCTAGTGATCGCGGCCTGCATTGCCTGTCTAGCAGCCATTGTGAACAACCTTACGCACAACTATAAGCTTATAAGAGATGTCTTTAATAAATATCATGGTGAGTATAGTTTTTTTATTCGACATCCCGAAATGTTTTTGAGTGGATAGACTAAAGAAGGAAGTAGAGGGTAGAAGATGAATAAACAATTTTTTTTGTACCGAGTCATTTAGTAAAATCCAAGAATAAATCCTATAATATCTTTTTATATATTACTAGCTGTCCAGACTGACGTTGTTTTACCCTTTCCATTTATCATTAATTTGCAATAAAAATATTGAGGGTTACTTATCGGTATAAAAAATAACCTATCTCTCAAGTTGTACCAAATAGCACACAGTGTGCAGTATTTCATTGAAATTAGTTCAGTAGCTTAGGAGTTCATCGCGGACAAACAATGTGACACGTTTTTTTAATACATAAAGATTACAATTAAAATATAAAAACTGATCTGGCTATTTACAGGAAATTCTATCGTTGTTTTATAAGTTCAAAGACTAAGTTGGTACAATTATCCAGCTTTACTAACGTTACAGCCTATTGAAGTCCAATTGTGAAACATAGGCCTCCCCCACAGACTGCCTCATGTCTGTGGAGGGATTTTTACCATAGTTGCCACGATTGACTAGCGGGTTAGCAACCGCAGTTATTTTATTTTGAGTTGTTGTCAGGAAGGCGCTGCTGTCAAGCTCTTCTGTTGCCTCTTACGACACCCACGGGATGATATGTGGTAGTGATAGTCCTACACCGCCATTTCACGCTAACAAGTGTACAAGGCAGTGGCGAAGCTAAAGCTCCAAGCTAGGGCAAGCCCAAGATATAAATTGATAAAAATATAGATTGTTGTTTTTAGCAGTTTTATAAAAATACACCAATCTTGACCTGTCTCCACGCTTCAGTTTCATATTCAGTGCTGTCAAGGACGTGTTTAACAAAGCACACAGAAGGCATACCACTGCTAGATAGATTGTATTACATATCAGCAATTGCATAGCTTCGGTGGCTTTGAAGAAAGCCGTTTGGGTTTGTTAAAGCGAAAGAAAAAAATATTTACATCCAATACAATACATGAACAAAAGTAAAACACGAACAAAGTACAAACTATGTACAAAATTAAAAAAAATTATTTACATTCTAATGGATAAGAGATAAGATAAGATAAGTGGAATCGTCTCGCTTTCTTATGGAAAGATTTAATTACGTCCACGTAAAATGTTGGTGAACGTTTTAATTGTACCAATAACTGTTTTTAATTGCGATAATTGATAAGTCTGAAATACACTCTTAACCTTGTGTATTATCTCAACAAAGTTTAAAGATTACCTCTCCGATTATCACTTTAACACACTTCAATTCATCACAAGGAACACTATTATCCTCCATTTTCATTAAAAATCTTTAAAAAAGCATAAATTTTGAACTCGTAATATTAAATCGCTTAAGATAAGCACACAGAGTAAATAAACATTGAAACGTGAAATGAACTTGCAAACGTATTGCCCGCGCGCTTCCGCTTTTAACAAATTTATCCCCAAAAGCCTGGCTTTAAATCTCTATACTAATTGCTATATATACAATCGTAGTTATATTTCATTATAGAATATTTGCCATAGGTTAGAAAGAGAGCGATCGTCTTCTCGAAAGCCCCGTAAAAAGCCCACGCGAGCGAGGGAGACAACTATTAGCTCTATTAAAACTCATTTTTTATGACGGCAGCAGTATCGCTAGGGCAATACGATGTCATCGGTCGGTCGACATGTGTCGAACAGTGGAGTGCGCGGGAAATCTGAAATAGCTTGAAACATTTTAAGTGTTATTCTATTAGTTGATATTATTGATTGATAGTCAGGTTTAATAAGGCAAGCCCTTCGGCTTTTATGGAAGCTTCGCCACTGGTACAAGGTGCCACTTTATTGGTGGTCTTTTCCTGCCTAGGACTTTATATGGGTAGATACCATCCTCTTGCTTATTTCTGCCGCGAGACAACAGTGCGTGCACACCTGTGTTCCGGTCTAAAGGGTATAATTACAGGCTGGGCTCTAACACATCTGTAACCTTATTTGTATGAGAATGTTTGCAAACGTCCACAGACTACAGTAGCCACTTGCCATCAGACGGACTCTAAGTTCGTTTGTCACTTTGTAAAAACCATCTTCAAAAGTATTTGTATTTGCCGTGAGATTTCCCGCTGCAGTGTCTGATAGTAAAGTCGTATTCCTGCTGCTGCTGGGCGGTGCTGTTAGCCGCACTTCCTTTCTGAGACCGTTCACCTTCCCTTCCTAGGGTGTGCTTAGGGCAGCTGGACCGAAGATGGCCCCTTTCCCCACAGCAATAGCACCTAGGGATGTATCTTTTATTGTAGTCGGGAACCGTAACTGCTGTAACCTCCCTAGCATGAGGTGAACGATGATCCTGTCGTAGCCAGGCAGTGCCGTTAGCTGCACTACCCTCTCGAGATCGATCAACTCTCCTTTCCACGGTTCGTTTAGGGCAGCTGGATCGAAGATGGCCCTTTTCCCCACAGCCATAGCACCTAGGGCTGTATCCTTTGCTGCGGTCACGGACTGTAGCGGCTGCAACCTCCCTGACGCGATGGGAACGATGATCCTGCCGCACGGCTTCCACCTCCAGTGCATGGGCCAAGGCGTCCTTAAGCGTCTCGTGGTACCCGAGCCTCACAGCAGCTCTGACTTCCAGGTCACGGATGCCGTCGATGAATGTCTGCACCAGGTTCCCTTCAATGAGCGCAGGTACAGACTGGTATGCTTTTCGAACCTTCTCTACCTCAAGGGCCCACTGCTGCAGGTTTTCGTTGATGCACTGCACACGATCTTTAAGCTGCGCGCGAAAGACGTGTTCCAGGTGAGCGTCACCATATCTCGCTTCCAATGCCTCAAGGAGCTGCTCGTAGGTCACTTTCTTACAGAGAGCTTCCAACACGGTTAAGGCTTGGTCGCGCAGGCCTAAGGTGAGTGCAGTCATGGCCTGGCTTTTATTCCAGCCGTTTGCCTCCATGACGGCCTCGAACTGGATTTTGTAGGCCGACCAGGAAGAAGTCCCGTCGAACGGTGGCACCTTGAACCCACGTAGCGAAGGTGCAGTAGCTACTACGGGAGCTGTAGTTCCATCCCCAAGTTTGAGTTCATCCAGTGTTTTCTTAACTTGGTTGATTTGGGTCTCAGCTTCCGACAGGCGGATATCATGTTGAGCAACCTTATCCTTCACCTCCCTTATCTCTTTCCCGAAGATAGCGTGAAGGTCCTTCATGAGAAGCATCTGTTCTTCCTGGCAGCCCCGTAGCTGCTCTTCCAACCGACGGACCTGTTCCTCCTGTCGGCGAGCCTGTTCCTCCTGTCGGCGAGCCTGTTCCTCCTGTCGGCGAGCCTGTTCCTCCTGTCGGTGAGCCTGTTCCTGTAGCATCGCCATCAGAGCACCTAAGTCAGGTGCTGCAGATGTAGGAGCTACTGACGGGCCCGCAGCCTCCGTGGCTGGCATTTGGCCCTCCGACGTCTGCGGCGTTGCACCACCAAATCTCCTCTGGTCCGTCTCCTGCTGGCGTTGACTTCGGGTACGGACACCCTCCATCTCGTCCTTAGGTAAAATCGGCATGATTTTATCCCACTTCTGACACCAATTGTTACGAGCTTGAGGTTCGTGACAGTAAAAATTGCCGATAGAATTACCTAAATTAACACTTTAATTCACTTTACAATAATTAAAGTTAAAACACTAATAATTAATCACACTGATTCACTTTATTCCGCTCCGAAGCTTCGCGTATCTCGCCAACTTCAATACTTCCTGCCCCGATCGCATCTTGCAGCGCCTATTTATATAAATTAGCAAAGAAATATCCAGAATGTTCAAGTAAACACGCGCAAGGTACCGAGCGTTCGAGTTTCGACTAGGCGCTGTCGGTTGAAAGATTTGTGATGTAATTTTCTGCAAAGCTCCCCCTCGCTCTCGTTCCTGACACTAGATGGCGCTAGTGTGTCGTCGACTTGAGCGCGTAACAATACTGTATTCCTGATTTATATATGTTACTTTTATTCTAGGTGTACTCCTACAGTGGAAGAACAGTTGGCAGCGCAATCCCGAGGTTACGCGGTCCTTGCCTTCTCGGCCGTACTTTCGACGGGCGTTATTTATTGTTGGGCTGTTATTGCGATATTTTGATTTTACGGACAACGTAGTTATAGAAGGTCTTTCGGTAAGTACTATATGATTTATATATTTAACTTTCATTTGTTCAATTTTCTCAAAACATTTCAATGTAAAAATCTATAACAGTCACAAAATGTAAAGTTTTTTATGTTTTATAATGAACTAAATATGACATAATTAGCTGTGAATATTTATATGTATATTTAAAATAAATACATGTTTAATTATTACAAATCATACAAGAAAATGTAAAAATAAGTTGTATATGATTTTGTCATTTTTCTCATTGTATATATGTGGTGTGGCAGGCCTACTGTACACCTTGTTTAATTTATGCTGGGAACTGAAGCGGGTACCGGTAGACTAGTGCAAGGTCGTGATAGTGCCAATATATAAAGGAAAAGGGTCGCAGTAAGACTGTAAAAACTAAAAACTACCGTGGTATCAGCCTTCTTAGCATTGTGGGAAAACTGTATGCTAAGGTATTTATTGAAATGGTCATGAAAGAAACTGATGGAAAAATTTGGGATGTGCAAGCGGAATTTAGAAAGGGATGGGGTGTACATATCAAGTCTTTTCCATGAGCATGATCGCAGAGAAGTTTTTGGCCAGAAACCAAAAGGTTTTTTGTGCGTTCAAGGACTTGGAAAGGGCCTATGACAGAGTGGACAGGGATGTGCTGTGGTAAAGACTGAACTCATTTGGTTTGAACGCTGGGTTGATACGGGCATTGAAGACTCTTTATAGGGACTCTAGTGCTTGTGTTAGGATCAACGGGGTCTACTCGGAGTGGTTTCGCACCCATAAATGTGTCAGACAAGGCTGTGTGGCATCTCCATGGCTGTTCAATCTATTTATGAACAGTTGTTTGGAAATTTTGAAAGTTGAAGAATGCGGTTTAAGAATGGGTGAGTTAACCGTCAAATGCCTTTTGTACGCCGATGATCAAGTTATTCTTGCGTTGTCGGCGGCCGAGTTGAAAATGATGGTTACATTAATGAACAGATCATTAAAAGAAAGGGTTATGAAAATTAACGCAAGTAAGACGAAAGTTATGGTTTTTGAAAGAGAAGAAAGTATAAATATGTGAAATAAGAATAGAAGGGGAGTTAATTGATAGAATCGATAGATAGAAGGGGAGTTGATCGAGCAAGTAGATGATTATGTATTTTTGGGATACGTATTAAGCAGGGATGGGAGATATGATAAGGATATAGAACTACGAGTGAACGCAGGAAATAGAGTAAATGGGGCCCTACACTCTATTATGAAAATTCAGAATGTGTCAAAAAAGGCACGTATGGCAATTCACAATGCTGTGTCGTTCCCTACTTTAACATATGGTAGTAAAAGTTTATTAAAAAGGCTTATGACAGAGTGGACAGGGATGTGTTATGGCAAACACTGAACTCATTTGGGTTGAACGCTGGGTTGATACAAGCATTAAAGTCTCTTTATAGGGACTCTAGTGCTTGTGTTAGGATCAACGGGGTCTACTCGGACTGGTTTGGCATCCATAAAGGTGTCAGACGGGGTTGTGTGGCTTCCCTGTGGCTGTTCAATCTATTTATGGACAGTTGTTTGGAAAATTACGTATGGCAATTCACAATACTGTGTTGGTCCCTACTTTAATGTTTGGTAATAAAGATATTGAACGACGAGTGAATGCAGGAAATAAAGTAAATGGGGCTCTACACTCTATTGTAAAAAGTCAGAATATGTCAAAAAAGGCATGTATGGCAATTCACAATGCTGTATTAGTCCCTGCTTTAATGTATGGTAGTGAAAGTTGGGTGTGGCAGAAGAAGCACGAGAGTAGAATAAACGCAGTAAAAATGCGGTCGTTAAGGAGTATGTTAGGGCTGAATCTGAATGACAGGGTGAGAAATTGTGTGATAAGAGAAGAGTGGTTTCAAAGATGATGTTGTGACCAGGATTAAGAAAGGAATGCTTCAGTGGTTTGGTCATGTGCAAAGAATGAATGAGGAAAGAGTGACAAAGAAAATTTATGTTGCAGAAGTGAGCGGCGGAAGAGTCGGAAAGGGACGTCCTAGACAAATTTATCGATCAAATTGGCGATATATTGAAAACGGGCCAAATTAGGAGTACCCTTAACCGACGAGCATGTATGCGTAGGTATGTCAGGATCGTGCTAAATAGAAATCTGTAGTCTCTGCCTACCCCTCTGGGTGACAGGCGTGAGTGTTTATGTACGTTTTTATATAATACAGACCGGATTTAAATAAAAATTTCCAAAGCTTTTATAGGAACTGCAGTAATTAATAGGGCATTATTTATAATGTCCAGACATTTTGAAAAATGCCCAATATGATAAAAACTATAGAAAAAATTAAATCGACCGGGCTTTATGAATAATATCTGTTACGTAACGGACAGAATATTAAAAAGTTAGGTTAGGTTGCTTTTTGATGTCACGTATTTAACAATTAAATACAATGGGATTAAAGTTTTTCATCAAAGGATTTTTTTTCTTTATCAGAGGAATGAATAACCAATATTTTCCCTTCTTTCACATTTTGTACAATTGTTAATTTTGGATTTGGTACATTATTAACTTATTGTCTTAAAAGTGATTGACATTGTAAGATTAGGTTAGGTTAGGTCAAATTGCGTAGTAGTAGCATTATTCATAATGACCAGACAATGAGGTAAATAATAAAGTCATTGGGTTTTCCCCCCCTTTTTTTTTTTTTTTTTTTTTTTGGTTTTTTGTTATTAATAAAAAAACGTTTACTTTTTGTTTCCGTTAATGTGTCTGTACTTCGATTTGTTTATCTTTTGTTAAAGGTTTCTTTTTTGCAACGCACCCATTATTTATTACATAGCCCGATTTGATTTGTCATTGAATAATGAATATATTACCGAGCTATTATAAATACTGCCCTTATTAATCACATGGTTCATAACATATAGAATATAGATGACTTTAACTATCTTGCATTTTAATCTTTCAAATCTTTTTAATTAAAATAACCTTGTATGTAAATTCCTTTGCAAATTTATTTCATCCATCTATAACAGCCTATAAAAGTCCACTGCTGCTGAACTTAGGCCTCTCCCATAGATTGCGTCATGGGGGGAGTGGGAGGGGGTTATGTCATAATTGCCACTCTTGGCAGGGGGGTTCGCAACAGCAGTTTCTTTTAATCGAGTTGTTAACAGGATGTTGCTGCTGCCAATCTTCTGTTTCAGTTTCCCTCTGTCGCCTTACGACATCCACGCAACGATATGGGGTAGCGGATATTCTAAAATCGCCACTACACTGTTGACTATGAACTAATCATTAGTACTAAATATTTTGTATATATATTATATATGTTAATAACTGCCTCGTTGGTCTAGTGGTTGTAGTAGTGCGACTGCTGTTAATGAGGTCCTGGGTTCGAATCCATGGTCGGGCCAACAAAATCAATTATTGAATTTTTCCGTCAAGAAATTCTCAGTAGCTGCCCTGAGTTGGTCCTGCGCCTGATCTCTCTCCGGTCGTGTCGGTTTACCGTACCATCGAATTATGAGAGTGGGGGAATAGAGAGTGCACCTGTGCTTGCGCATACACTTGGGCACTATAATCCTGTCCTGCGCCGATGGCTAGCCTCCGTTGAGGCAGGCCGCCGTGGCCGAAATTCGATCTGGAGTACATTATTATATATGTTAATATTAAATAAAAAAATCTTTTGATGACATACTATATACAATGTATAGCCAAATAGCCTAAAAATATTTGTCTTGTTGTAGAGCGATATAAAAGAGCAAGTGTTCAACACGTTGATGTTCTTTGTGGGACTCGATGACGAGGACTTTGTGTCGCACACACTGAAAGCACTAGGCTCTGTGTGCGTGCGACATTACGAATTCATGTTGCGGCCCGAACTTAAAGAGTTTTATCACCAACTGCTCACCTCACATCTGGCTCCAATAGAAATGAAAGCTGATGTCCTAAGGAATATCGAAATGTATTTACAGGAGGAAGAACAAAGGATGATTAGACAGGACAAAGAATGTAAGTAGTTAATAAGTTATAATGACTTGTTACAGCTCTTAAGACAGTTATTGAGAATCCCACAACATTAAGGGCGACATTCTCTGATTAGCAAATAGATTATGTTGTTATATACATACATATACAAAAATCGAAGCTGTCCGTTACTGTTACCGTTAAAGCATATTAAAACTTGTTGCCAAACAGCTCCCGAGGCCTCCCCCATAGATTGTTTCACAGGGGGGGATTTTTGCCTTAGGGGAGATGTTTATATAGCTTGGCAACCAAAGTTCTTTTAGTTGTTATTAGAAACTCTGTCAACTTACGGCACCCACAGAATGATACGGGGTAGTGGTTATTTTTACACCGCCACTACACGGCACAAGCTTTCACCATGTACATACTAGTTATTGATTATTGTTGTGTTTGATCATTACCATTATTCCAGAACCACTGCAAGTCCGCTGCTGAACACAGGCCTCTCCCGATGTAAGCCACAAAGCACGATCCTGAACCTCCTGCATCCAATGATTTTCTAAATCCCATACTTTGTTTCCTGGTGCTAGGTGCTACTCGCAAACTTTTCTTCCCCATCGGTTGTCGGTTTTTCTATGCATCCTGAAACTACCTGTTATACTTCAGATTACTCCATAAGTTTTACTAAAATTTAAAACTATTAAGTACCATAGTCGCAATATTGAATTTCGGCCCCATTTTTTTGCTAATTTAGTTATGATGAGTGTTATGTTATGACACACTTTCATAAAGCTTTTTGTTTAGTTACTATAATGGGTGAGTAATTAGTATGAGTTTATCTAATTTTTGCATATACTTTTAGGGTCAAAACGATCGAAGCATGAAAATTTGAAAGAAATGGGTGACGTGTCATCTGGTATGGCATCCACTGTGATACAGTTATACCTAAAAGAGATATTAGGGTCTTTTCTACATACAAGTACAATGGTACGCTCTAGCGCGATGAAGGTTGTTCAGTTGGTATTGGCGCAAGGACTTGTGCATCCTGTACAGGTATGGAAATATAAATAACTATCATAAGTCTTATACTAAACCGTCAAATAAACCACAATTATTCAAATTATTATTATAAATGCAGATAAGACTAAAAAGATTTGTCTTTAAATACTATTCCATAATCATTGCTTGTATATAACACTAATAATATTTAAGTGTAATACTTAATTTTTACAGATTGTACCATATTTGATTTGTATGAGCACTGATGTTGAAGTTACTGTTTCCCACACTGCCGACAAGAATCTTCAAGAAATAGACAAAAAGTATCCAGGTTTCATCCATATGAAAGCGCAGCTTGGCATTAAACTCTCCTATCAATTACAAAAGATTTTACAAAACAATTTAGATAAGGGAATTATAAGAGGATTTAGGTAAGTTAAGACCATGTAGTGACAGAGCATAGAATACTATAATACACAATAGAATGGCTGTCAATCTTATTTTGTACGAGGATCCGCGTCGCCGGTATTTTACGTAATTTGTAATAAAATACTATCCATCATCTTCTGATTGATCCATCACAAACGAACAAAATAACACATATTCACTCACAAGATAACAAAAACTCTCGCAAACGTCTTTCTGCAATAAAACCTGCCAATGTTTCATCCTCAAACACAGTAGATAACGCATCTTTCTTACCTTATTACTCTGACGAAGTAGTCTACTGGGATCTCTGTAACACGCAGAACGCGACGTTACCGTTTCGTGTTCGAGTAGTATTCGTCAATTGTGGCTCCGGATCCACGTAATCTATGTAAACGTCGCATATAAGTTAAATATACTCTGAATCTAAGAAATCATATTCAGTATGATTTTTTAGACCGTTGATGGATCAACAAATGTTGGTCAAATCGCTGGACGAGTATGTTAAAAAAGTAATGATACGTAATCAGAAGGTCTTTTCTAAAAACTTTATTGCAAATTTTTAATGTTATCCTATAGAGGGAACAAATTTACAATTTGATGAAAAAATTTTAAAATTTAGTTTTTTGAATTAATATTTTTCATCGTATTTTATCGTATCTATTTAGTTTTTCATTAATCCAAGTACAAATTTAAAAGCGAGAATATTTTCCGGCTTATCGGTATCAGTAAAGTTTCTAATATTTACAAAATATAAATTTCGACTCACTGGTTGTAGGATATACCACCTTTATTTAAATTCCATTATTCGCTGTTCTTTCGACATGTAATAACGCACAATTTGTAATTTTTTAAATTATTTGCTTGTAGCGACGCTTGACACGAAAGTTGGAAACGACGCATTGACATTTATAGATGTGAATTAACATGTTAGTGACTTACACAGCATCTGCCCACTCCCCCGTTCTATTAAGTATGTATTATAGTTATAGAATACTATCATTACATACATAATAGAACGGGGGAGTGGGCGGAGCCCGTGTAGTCACTAACATGTTAATTCACATCTATAAATGTCAATGCGTCGTTTCCAACTTTCGTGTCAAGCGTCGCTACAAGCAAATAATTTAAAAAATTACTAATACGTCAATTCACACGTATCCAAATTTCTCATGCAAATTATTGGGAAATGCTAAAATGCACGCTATTTACAAATAAATATTTATTAAAATCTGTCTGTCAACACAGCGAATCGGTTTGTAGTAGTGATAATACGACGTGATTGCTTGTATGTGCGCTCCCGGCGACGCCGAATCTCGTACAAAATAACGGTGACAGCCATTCTATTGTGTATTATAGTATTCTATGAGTGTCAGCGTAAGAGAACTCAATACCTCAAATGAAACGGGAGATGGGCAGCAGCATCCACCTTATATCATCTTCAAATATTCAAAAAGAAACCGACTGCCAAGCGTGGTGACTATACTAAACTTCCCTCATGAGGCAATCTATGACGGAGGCTTGTGTTCAGTGCAAATGATCAATAATAAGATAAATTAGCTAAGTTAACATTAACACAAATCTACTACTACTACTGTTCTATATTTCTATTGTCTTAATTTTGTAAAACGAATATATTTATTTAGTAAAAGCGGTATAAATAATTTCCACTAAATTTAATAGCATTTGAAATTGGTGCTAAGACAAAGTGCATTGAAGAATTAGATTTATACTAGCTTGCCAGGCAGACTTTGTTCTGCACTTTTCGACGACCCTTTGTCATGTCCTATTAAAAATCCATAAATTCGCAAAAAAATGTGTCACTCATGGGCAAAAAAAAAATAATCCTGTCTCTCGAGTTGGACCAAACTGCACACGGTGTGCAAATTTGACAAACAACGTGACACGTAATTTATAGTACCCGAATGACCGAGCTTTGCTTGGTTTTTTTTTTAAATTACATTGAGATATAAATTACATATTGATGAATAATATTTTTTGATCTTGACATAATAGGTAAAACTGAACTGGTTATTTGAATAAAAACTCAAGAGTGCAATTAGTTGAATTAAAATTTTAGTATTTTTAAAAAATACTAAAAAAGGGCTCGAAATAATAAATAGATTTCCTCACAAAAGAAGGTAACTTGAAAAAAAAAAAGGAAAAAAATCGGACTGGAGACAGGACGCGAACCAAGGCATTACCATTTCGCGACCGCTCGATATCCATTTGAGCTATTACGATCATTAACACAGTGTCAAAATTTACCTTCTTATATTGTAGCAGTTTTTCATTGCCTGAAAAGACGGACAAAAAACATTTTCTAAAAATAAATCCTAGCTAGATCGATTTATTGCCCCCGAAACTCCCTGGACACAAAATTTTATGAAAATCGTTGGAGACGTTTCCGAGATTCCGATTATACACACACACACACACACATATATATATATATATATATATATATATATATATATATATATACCCAGAGAGTACTTAGATAACCTCTCTGGATGAACCGATTTTGATGATTCTTTTTTATCTGAAAGCTTGTGGTGCTTCTCACGTGGTCCCATATAAATTTAATGAAGATCTGACCGGTAGGGTCAGATCTTCATTAGTTTTTGAGTTATCTTTAATAATGCATATTTAATTGACTTCGAATATATTGATTCGGTCATATTGAAGGTGGTTGTACAAAAATTTAAATTTTACCACTTGTTCTTTATAGTTTCATGAAGTCTGTTGTTACATTTATTTTAAAACGTTCAGTTATTTTTCAATTTTGAGAGATTAGTGAGGGTTATGGCAGATATGGCCAAATATAGATAGACCTAAACGCATCGCTTAAGCAATACAGCGACGTGTAAAGGATATAATGAATATTTTTAAAACATTTATAAATACCCAGGTCATCATAATACTGTCTAATCTCAGTAAAGTTCTCAGTTAATCAAAGCTATATTTCAAATTTCATTAGAATCTGTTAATGTTAAATGGATGAAAATTAAAAAATACTTAAACGAGGGTAGGTACAGTAGGAAATGCATTTTGTTTTTCTAGCCTAAGAGATTTTTTCAACAATTTTTTTCACCAGTCCATAGAAGTGTAGTAATATTAATTTAAAAACTGTAAATAAAAAAATTATATTTTCAAACAAAATAAATTCAGTAAAAGTAAACACTCTTTAGAAAACGTACCTTGACTACGTACGTGAAACGCATGTTGCTACGAAATTTGTTGAGCAGGCTTCGAGACAACGTGCGGCGATGTAATTTGTGTATTCAAGAACATGGCGGACATTTTGAAAATTTAAACATTTAGGATTCCATTAAATTTAATTAATGTGCATTAATATTTATTTCGCTCAGTTTTGTTATCACGAAATAAAAATGTGGCGGTAAAAATAAACAGTTTAGTGAAAAGTTTAAGCCGCTGCCGGCCGCCATGCCGCCATGCCGCCCGCGTACGCGCACGTTTTTTGTCTTAATTACTGGACGGATTTAGTTCATTTTTTGTAAATCGTCAGCAAAGACTAACAAGTATGTGGTTTCATTTATTGCATGTATGTGGTACCACCCAAAATTGGTTCACAATCGACAAAGTGATATCTTCGTCATAAAAAAAATAAAAGAAATACAGTTGAATTGACAACCTGCTCCTTTTTTATGTTGGTTAAATACAATTATGCTATTCCATGTCAACTTCAGTCATTAATTTTTCTTAGTCTACACTAATAATATTATAAAGAGGAAAGATTTGTTTATTTGAATTTAATAGGCTCCGAAACTACTGGACTGATTTGAAAAATTCTTTCATCATCTTCATTTCACCAATTGAATCCTACATTATCCCTGATAAACATAGGCTATAGTATATTTTCAAAAAAGTTGGGATCCGTATAAAAACTTCGTTAATGTAACCCACAGTGTGAAAAAAAAGTACCAAAAAAATCCTTATATCGTGTACGCTGCGGAAACTATTGACAATAGAGCAAAGTAATGTACTACAGTTTTAAAGAAGATATCATTATCTACAAAAAAGTCTACAGTACCATATGTCTAGCTATTACAGTTATGTCAAAATAACTACTTTTTCATGTTAAAATATGCAATAGTAACGCCGGTACAAGCACAGCTGACGGAATTGTTTGTAGTCATATTTTTATTTTGTCAGCCATCAGAACCATTGAAATTATACACTTCTTCAGTTCGTACAGAAAACAATGCTACGGATACAGTGGCACATCGCTATAATACAAATGATTTGACCGCTTTCGTCAATAAAAACCTGCCAAAATTAGTCACAGATCAAAGACATGCTTTTGAGACTATAGTCGATAGCGTGAATAATAACAAAGGAACAATTTTTTTGGATGTGCCAGGTGGCACTGGAAAGATGTTTCTTGCAAATTTGATACTTGCCAAGATATGACAATAGGGGAAGATAGCGATAGTAGTTGCTTCGTCAGGAATTGCTTCAACTCTCTTTAAGGATGGAAGAATTGCTGATTCTACTTTTAAATTTTTGCAACCATGAGCCATAGAGCACATATATGGGCGGCGGTAGTCACTTACTATCAGGTGAGCCGCATGCTCGTTTGCCCCCCTCGTCAATAAAAAAAATATAGAGGCCGTGGACAGAACCTTAAAAGATCTAAGAAACTCCTCTGCTCTCATGGGCGGGATTACTTTTGTATTTGCTGGAGATTTCCGACAAACTCTTCCCGTCATTAACAGAGGTACGCGGTACGAGATATCATCAAAAGTTAGGGACTCACATAATACTAGCGTCAAATAGAAGCTTAATGCTGCTGTGTTTCGTATTGTGAGTATAGAGAATCGGATACCCTTTTTACTGAAAACGAGGCATTCTATCTTAGTCCTCACTAGTGACCACGCATCTGCATTTTGATTTGTAATCGAGGATAGATGTAGATGTCTATGGGCCACAGCAACCACTTACCATCACCGTACCGTCGGAAACAAATGTCGGTTACAGTCGTATCGTAGTATTAATTCTTATTCAAATAAATAGTTTTATCTTAATGAAAGAGTTAAGAAATAATTCGTACCTCTTTTTTAAAGAGAAAATTCTATTCTTTACTTTAGTTGCAAATTTTAATAAACCTAAACTTTGAGCAAAAAAATCGATAAGATAAGAAATGTTCATATTTTTTGGCAGATTGCGCAAAAACTATAAACGATATCGCTTTCGTATGTATAAAAGGTAGATAGAAAATTCATTCATCGAAATACACAAACATCGAATTACACAAATAGACGGCCCCCAGTCCCCGGCGGCCCCGCTATTCCTGGCTACGGTGGCGGTAACGGCGGGGCAGGGGGTGCTAAGAATCTCCGGTGGGGGTTCAGTTGCCACCTACGACGACTCGACCTGGCAACATTTAACGCACGCACCCTGAGGACTGACGAGAAGATCCTGGAGCTGGAAGAAGAGATAGATAAGTTGCGCTGGAATATTATAGGATTATCCGAGGTCCGAAGAGAGGGGGAGAACACGGTGATTCTCGAATCCGGCAACTTGTTCTATCACCGGGAGGGCGACCATCTGTCCCAAGGAGGTGTTGGATTTATCGTCCAAAAGTCTCTCGTTAACAACGTTTTAAAGATTGGGAGTGTATCGACGAGGGTTGCGTACCTTATACTCAGAATCACCAAACGGTATTCGCTGAAGGTCATACAGGTTTACGCGCCAACTTCGGAACATCCCAATGACGAGGTGGCGGAAATGTATGAGGACATTTCTAAAGCCATGCATTCCTCCAAAACTCACTATACGGTATTAATGGGAAACTTCAACGCAAAACTGGGCACAAGAAAGAACGGTGAGCTGAAGGTAGGGAAATTTGGGATAGGGCAACGGAACCCAAGGGGCCAGCAGCTGGCCGACTTCATGAAGAAAGAGAGACTTTTTATGATGAACTCTTTCTTCCAGAAGCGGTTCCACAGAAAGTGGACCTGGTCGAGCCCCGACGGTTCGACAAAAAACGAGATTGACTTCATTATGACGACCAGACGCCAACTGTTCAGTGATGTCTCAGTGATTGCAAGGGTGAAAACTGGCAGCGATCACCGAATGGTTAGAGGCACACTGAACCTAAACGTTAAGTTGGAGAGGTCTCGTCTAATGAAGTCAACGCTCCGTCCCCCTCGTGCTCTAATCCAGAATCCCGAAACCTTTCAGCTCGAGTTACGTAACCGCTTTCAGTGCCTAGAAGATTGCAATGCAGTGGACGATATGAATGACAAGCTCGTGGAAACTGTCCATGCGGTCGGAGCTAAGTTCTGCAAGACCCGCCGCAGAAGAACACAAAACTCTCCGATAACACTCTTAAGCTCATGGCTGTTAGACGGGAGATGAGGCTGCAATCGTCAACAGATTTGACAGCATACAGGCAACTGAACAGACAGATCTCCAAATGCATGCGGCGAAACTTACGCAACTTGTGGGGGCTCGTCTTTGCCAGAGATCTGTCTGCCAGAAAGAGCCAACTGTCAAAGCTGAAGACTGAGTGTGGCAGCATCGTTTCCGGGACACCTGAGATTTTGAGTGAGATTGAGAGGTTCTATGGGCAGCTGTAAACATCATCGTTGGAGCCACACGCAATTGTGAGTAACGATCCAAGAGCAAGTCTTATCCGACACTATTCCGATGATATCCCGGACGTCAGTCTGAGCGAGATTAGAATGGCTCTCCAGCACCTTAAAAACGGCAGGGCCCGAGGCGAGGATGGAATTACAGCGGAGCTCCTGAAAGCGGGTGGAACACCGGTACTTGAAGACCTTCAGAAGCTCTTCAATTCCGTCCTCCATGGTGGCACTACTCCGGAGGCGTGGAGCAGAAGTGTGGTGTTCTTGTTCTTTAAGAAAGGCGACAACGCTCTCTTGAAGAACTACAGTCCGATTTCCTTTCTGAGCCGCGTCTACGTGCTGTTTTCGAGAGTCATTACGAATCGTCTCGCACGCAGACTCGACGACTTCCAGCCTCCCGAACAAGCTGGTTTCCGAAAAGGCTTCAGTACCATAGATGACATACATACCCTGCGGCAGATTGTACAGAAGACCGAAGAATACAATCTGCCACTTTGCCTGTCGTATGTGGACTATGAGAAAGCCTTTGATTCCGTCGATATTTGGGAGGTGCTACAGTCCCTTCAGCGGTGCCAAGTTGACTGTCGGTATATCGAAGTGCTGAAGTGTTTGTACAGTAGGGCTACGATGGCTATCCGAGTACAGAACCAGAGCTCGAAACCTATCCAACTGCAGAGAGGTGTAAGACAGGGTGACGTTATATCCCCGAAACTCTTCACCGCTGCATTGGAAGACGTTTTCAAGCTACTGGACTGGAAAGGATACGGTATTAACATCAATGGCGAGTACATCACTCACCTTCGATTTGCCGACGATATAGTCCTTATGGCAGAATCGCTGGAGGACCTAAGCACTATGCTCAATGACCGCAATGGTGTCTCCCAACGGATAGGTCTTAAGATGAACATGGTCAAAATAAAGATCATGTGTAACATCATTGTCACACCTATGCCGGTAGTTGTTGGGAGCACTATGCTCGAAGTTGTTGACGAGTACGTTTACCTGGGACAAATAGTCCGACTAGGTAAGTCCAACCTCGACCGAGAGGTCAATCGACGGATTCAACTCGGCTGGGCAGCGTTCGGGAAATTACGACACATCTTCTCGTCAGGTATACCTCAATCTCTGAAAACTAGATTGTACAGCCAGTGCGTGTTGCCAGTGACGACTTACGGATCTGAGACGTGGTCCTTCACTGCTGGCCGTATGAGGACGCTCAAAGTCGCTCAGCGAGCTATGGAGAGGCCTATGCTCGGTGTTTCTCTGCGTGATAGACTCAGAAATGAGGATACCGCAGTAAAACCAGAGTGACTGACATAGCCCAATGGATTAGTAAGCTGAAGTGGCAATGGGCCGACCATATAGCTCGAAAAACCGATAACCGATGGGGAAGAAAGGTTCTCGAGTGGCAGCCTCGTACCGGTAGGCGTAGTGTAGGGCGACTCCCCACTAGTTGGAGTGACGACCTGGTAAGATATGCAGGAAGTCGATGGATGCAGGTGGCTCAGGACCATTTATTATATTTGTGGCATTACTTGGGGGAGGCCTATGTTCAGCAGTGGACTTGAGAAGGGCTGTAATGATGTGAAAATTCATCAAGGATCGTTTCGAACCTCCACACTTTTCATGTAGCGTGTACAGTTGTCTTTAAAACCGGAAAAACGCGTTTTGGGGCACTTCCTGGAGCGCTGGGGGGGGGGGGTTCATCCTGGAATGGGAGAGAGAAAGTAGATAAAATTTTAACTTTGCTGTATATCGTACATTGCCGATAGATAATGTACGATAGGGCGACTCCCCACTAGTTGGAGTGACGACCTGGTAAGATATGCAGGAAGTCGATGGATGCAGGTGGCTCAGGACCATTTATTATATTTGTGGCATTACTTGGGGGAGGCCTATGTTCAGCAGTGGACTTGAGAAGGGCTGTAATGATGATGATGATGTGAAAATTTATCAAGGATCGTTTCGAACCTCCACACTTTTAATGTAGCGTGTACAGTTGTCTTTAAAACCGGAAAAACGCGTTTTGGGGCACTTCCTGGAGCGCTGGGGGGGGGGGGGGTTCATCCTGGAATGGGAGAGAGAAAGTAGATAAAATTTAACTTTGCTGTATATCGTACATTGCCGATAGATAAAAGTACTACATTAATTTTGTCAATTTTTTAGCTGAGATGATTGAACTAAATAAGCGAGGCGAAACCGCGGGGCACAGTTGTATGCAATAGTTTAAAAACAAAAAAAAAACATTTTTAAAATTTTGTGTTGGTTTTTCTGTTTGTTCCGGCTAATCTCCGAAATGGCTGAACAAATTTTGTCAGGATTTTCACTGGCAGATAGCTGATGTTATAAGGAGTAACTTAGTCTACTTTTATTTTAGAAAATTGAATTGAAGTCTTGCGCAAAAAATCCATGAAATTTAATCGTATTAAATTTCACGCGAAGGAAGTCGCGGGGAACAACTAGTTGTTTATCAATTTCAAACAGTATGTCGTTTTCACTACTTTAAAGCCACAATACATATCGAGTTTCAACCCCGACCTAAAAAGAGGGATGTTATCTATCTCTGGCATCGTAGCTCTTAAACGGGTGAATCGATTTGGATGCAATTTTTTTATAATGCATTCCTAGACGTGTTTTATCAACATCTCTTTTTGTATCGGCGGTTTTAGAATCTTTAATTTCAGTTATCTTCAAAGTGGTTGAAGACTGTTTATACCCAATTCACAAAAACAGAAATTATTAGTACACTAAGGGCTGATTTTTCAGTTTTCACATAAAAGTTATCCATTAAAGAAATATTATCTGACTTCATATAAAAGTGAAAAAATTGAACTATTTTATGAATACAACTGTAATTTTTAATTTGTTTATGTTGTATTTTATTTTATCCTTAGAATAACTTTTATCTGCTTATTAAAATATCCGCCCTAAGGCAACTAAAGCCTTAAATATATTACCTCTTTGATCACATAAACATTCAAGGTGTTGGTTACCGTCAAGGCGACCTTGTGTTATGTACTTAACTTTCTGTTCTATTATAATTAAAGTGAATTCTATTTTTAGGAAAAAAGATCAAGATGATCTCCCGACATCCCTCAACGGTTTTTTATATTCGTTATTAAGAAACACGAGGCCTCAGCGACGTGCTTTAGTATTGTCACTACTGAAACAGTTCGACGATGTGTCTGTAAGGTTTTTTCTTTAATAAAGTTATATTTACTGTTAGTTTTCCAATTTTAGTTTTCGTTATTTAAGAAATAATTTTCCTTTTTATTTGCTTCAGACCGCGCCGTTAGATCAAATGTTGTACCTGGCTGATAATTTAAGTTACTTTCCATATCAAGTTCAAGATGAACCACTTTTTATAATACACCACATAGATATCATCATTTCCACATCAGGGTCTAATTTACTACAGCTATTTCGAGAGGTATGTCATTTTCTTTACTGATTTTTAAAAGTTATGGTTCACATGTTGAAGCAAGAAATATAACGACCTTTTTGTAATCCATTTACTTTTTTATACAATAAAGGTGGATGAATCAAGAATCAAAATACGGTCACCCATATTATGACATATATTATACAGGTTGTTCCAGAAATCAACGTCAAGCTAGAAAGGGGCAATAGGTCAAGTCATGACGGTAATTAGAAAATCTTAGCGTTTTATTTCAAATGCACCTAAATTAGCAAATTATTGTCTTTTTCCCAATTAAGAAGTAGTAAATTAGTAAATGTTATATCATTTTGGGACCCAGACCAAGATTTTTTATATTTTTATGATTAATAACTGTAACGACTACCTATTACCCGTTTTAGGCTTGATGTAAATTTTCGAGACACGTGATATATATGTATATATATGTATATGTATTATGGTTGTAGTACGAAAAGTTTGCTCAACAGGGCCAGCATCACGCTCTCACATTATATCACCGTTAAATAGCAGCTTAAAGCTGATGTGTTTCGTATGTTTCGTGTTTTGATATCCTTATAGCTAGGAACGAGACATTCTATCTTAGTTCTCAGGGGTGACAACGTATTGGCATTTTGATAGATTTAAATCTCTGTGAACCACAGCATTCACTTACCGTCAGGTGCACTGTGTGCTCATTTGTGTATTTCTTACGCAGTCAGTTTTTTTAAAACAGTAATAACCTTCTTGTAGTGAAATTAGTTGATTTTTGGTATCCTTTAACTATAACCACGTGCTTGTTGGAACTAACAAAACCAAACGATAAGGTTGACCAACAGTTGTTGCAAAAAAAATGAAGTGGTATATAGATCCACTGGCTCGATAACGTTTTCTGAATGTATAGCTTTTTATTAATAATTACACATTAAATTCATTCATATTCTTAATCAGAAAATTTGTGGCAAGAACAGTAAAATCTTAGTGTTATATCAAATTTATTAAATCATATTCTTAATAAATAAAACTATCTAATATAAATATATTATATAATAAATGGATTATAAAATACTATGGATTTGTGTAGCAACAAAACAAATAACACTTACTACTGCAGCACTGAATAAAATACAACTTTCTAACCGAAACTGACATTTCACTGAGTATAATACTTTTATTTTTCTTATTACTCACCTGGTAGTAAGTGATGTAGCCCTAGATGCTCAATCGCACTGTCTTAGCGTAACAAAAGCCCTTTAAAAAAATATTTGCGTGGTAGAGCAGTTATATTAGTTGTAGCACGAATGGGTCGGCTCGACCGGAGAGGGACCACGCTCTCACAGAATACCAGCGTCAAATAGTAGCTTAATGCTGCTGTGTTTCGTATGATGAGTGTAGAGAACCGGAGATCCTTTTTACTGGTAACGAGGCATTCCACCTAAGTCCTCACGGGTGACAACGCATCTGCGTTTTGATTCGTAATCGAGGATAGATGTAGATGTCTATGGGCCACAGCAACCACTTACCATCAGGTGGACTGTGTGCTCGTTTGTCACCCTATCCAATAATTTTTTTTATTAAAAATAAAAATAAAAATCAACAATTCCACACTCGTACAGAATTCTGCTTCAAAATTGTTTTGTGGCTATACATATATGACTGTAAGTTGTTAGTAAAGTCATTTCTATTTTTATTCAATTTAAACTCAATGGCGGCTGTGAAATTCGCTGTTAGTGCTGTTGTACCTTCGCGAAGCCAGGTTAATTAGTTATCATAAGTTGGATAAGGTTGTGTCTAATTTGTCTAATGAACATCCTTATTATTGCTTTTAACGGTCTTGTGAATGTTTACGTGTGATATTATCACTTAAAAATTTTTGGTAATGAAGATTTCTGATACCTAGCAATTTTACATTTGATTGCAAATCACAAAATGTGACGGTTAATGGGTGCAATTGTTGAAAGCTGGATTTTTTCCAGGAATACGCGCAAAAAATGTCGCTTGGAATTAGCTCTTGTGCTCTTTTTTCCCCACATTATTTTGTGATATAGATTATTATCATTTTATCGGTGAACATTTTTCATTGCGCTTGACCTGTGTGTATACGTATTTAGAGCTTACGTTTATTTTACTTAAAATAATAATAAAAAGAGCAACATTGAATGGTCACGGGGGGGCCCCCCTCGTGACCATGGGTGCTGTAAAGCACCCAAAACGTCGGGATAACAAAAACAAATTAAAGTAATTAAACGCGATAAAATCCGTAAATAATAGTTTTATTCAATGTGTAGTGTTCGCGTAAATTTAAGAAATCATTATCGGAATCCTCGGCGTCGACATATCGAGTGACGTGCAGTTTCGTGGTCACTTGGAAGGGAAGGCCAAATTGGCCTCTAAAAAGCTTGGCGTGCTCAGCAGAGCGGGACAGTATTTCATGCCGGCACACCGCCTGCAACTTTACAAGGCGCAGGTTCGGCCGCTCATGGAATACTGTTCCCATCTCTGGGCTGGGGCTCCCCAGTACCAGCTCCTTCCACTTGACCGCATCCAGCGCAGAGCGGCTCGAATCGTCGACGACCGAGTGCTTTCCGATCGGCTCGATTCACTGGCGCTGCGAAGAGATGTTGCATCTCTTTGCGTATTTTATCGCATCTATCACGGGGAGTGCTCTGAGGAATTGTTTGGATTAATCCCAGCCGCCAAATTTCGTGAACGCACTACACGGCAAACGTCCCGATACCATCCACACCATCTGGATGCTTGGCGGTCCACCACTGTACGTTTCAAAAGGAGTTTTCTTCCGCGTACAACCTCTCTGTGGAATAATTTACCACCGGTGATTTTTCCGGACCGATACGACCTGGGGACCTTCAAGAAAAGAGCTTACTCCTTTCTAAAGGGCCGGCAACGCACCTGCAATTCCCCTGGTGTTGCGGTTGATCATGGGCGGCGGTAGTCACTTAACATCAGGTGAGCCACATGCTCGTTTGCCCCCTCTTCTATAAAAAAAAAAAAAAAAAAAAAAATTAAAAAGAGCAACAATTATTAACAATAGACAATTTTACAAACAAGAATAACTATGAGCGCGACTACTTGAGTGGCGGAAGCGCTTGAACGTGTGCGGTAATATTTTCTATTGCACAGTGCCTTGCGCCAATTCAACAGCCGCCTTTCGTATTCCCCGTTTAAGTTGGGTTTTTTGGTGGCAGGGGCTGGTGGGGGCTCGCACGGAGCAGGAGCAGGAGCGCGAGCCGCTGGACGAGGAGGAGGACGAGGAGGAGGCAGAGGCGCTGCTGGCGCGCCTGCCCAGCGCCACGCGCCCGCTGCGCGACGCAATGCGCCAGGCGCGCGGCTGCCTGCTGCTGCTCGTGCTCAAGCAGCACCTCAAGCAGCTCTACGGCTTCACCGACGCGTGAGTACCCGCCCCGCCTACCCCTCCCACCCCTCACACACATAGACACTAATTCTTGCCTTCATTGAACTAATATGTACTACGTACTGCTTCGTTGGTCTAGTGGTTGTAGTGGTGCGACTGCTGATTATGAGGTCTGGTTCGAATCCCGGGTCGGGCCAAAAAATTAATTATTAAGTTTTTCCGTCAAGAAATTCACAGTAGCTGCCTGGGTGGGGTCAGGAAGTTGGCGGTGTCTCACCCCCGTGCCTCGGAAAGCACGTAAAGCCGTTGGTCCTGCGCCTGATCTCTCTCCGGTCGTGTCGGTTTACCGTCCCGTCGGATTATGAGAGTGAGGGAATAGAGAGTGCACCTGTGCTGACGCTTACACTTGGGCACTATAATCCTGTCCCGCGCCGATGCCTAGCCTCTGTTGAGGCAGGCCGCCGTCGCCGGAATTCGGTCTGGAGGACATTATTATTATTATGTACTTACGTAATAGAGAAGAGATGCCGAAACTTAATTTGCAACCCACATTGGCTCAAACTTACTTAGGGTCTATTCACAGCGGCCGGCAATTTCACTGTCAAACCGTCCTGAGCCTTATTTCTATTAAGAATGCATAGGATCGCTTGAAAGGGTCGAGGGCGACGCGTGATCTGCTCGCGGCGCCGAATGCCGACTAGCGGCCCGTCAAAGAGACTGCGAGCTACTTCTTCCGCTTGCCGAGATAGACGCTGCCGGTTACTACCGACCACTGCCACTTCGGTGTGAATTAACCCTTAGCCAGTGCCATAAAAATGTACTCTGTACATAGAAATATTTTTAAAGTAAAACTTCTTTACTCACTCTTAACTTGGGGAGTAAGCTGGCGAACGCTGACGAAAGCATTACGAAAAGTGTGATCGGGCGAGGCGAACAGGAGTTGAGTAAGGGATATAAGCAAGAGAGGACAGTGCGCGCGTACATTTTTTTTCTCTCTTTCTCTCGTAGCCAGTTACGTATTTTATGAATTAATATTTTGTTCAATATATCAAATACGTTTACGTTTACACGTTAAATACGTTTATACGTTTGATGTGAATAAAATTGTAAATTCATTTTAATGTTTTGTGAATTTTCGGGTGAATAATAACAAATTATGGAAGGAAGCTGATAAAAAATTTAAATATTTGAAAAAAATATGTATATACATGTATATATTATACATATATGCATATATACATACAGATGGAGCTAAAGAAGTTTTACTTCAGTCGTGTGGTCACAAGCACACTCGTTTTTTTTTATTTCTCAAACATTCGGGATTACTCACGATGTTTTCCTTCACTGCAGATCATGTGGTAAATCAGCACCTAAAATTGCAATTAACAATTTCATTGCTGCCAGAGGGGATCGAACCCTGGTTGCTCGCGTACTGTAAAATTTACAGCGAGTGCTAATAAACCATTAACTAACCATAAGCTAACACGACTTTTAGGAGTATGTTAGTCAGTATTATTACATGTTTGAAACATACATGTTTGAAATTTGTTACAAATGTTAATGAGCTAGAAATAATAGCCATTAAAACAAATGGATATTATTTTTTTGTCTTTTTGTTGTATTTACATAAGTAATTTTAAGTTTTGGTTTTTTATCAGCAAAATCAATCAGTATTCACCATCGGAGAGTGTAAAGATATACGAGAAGGCAGTTTCGCGAAGGCACGCGCCGGTGTTCGAGCCGAAGGCAACAATAGCGCAGCTCAGCGACGGCAACGACGCGAACGGCGAAGAAGACGAGGAGCTGGACGACCAAGGTCGGCGGCGACTCGTCGATGACTACCTCGAGGTAAACCACGACTCATAACATTATTCCGTATTTAAAAATATACAATTTTTGTTTTTATTATATACGAGCAGCTATGCAGTCTAGGTAAAGAGACCAGTATCACTGCGACCTAAAAGATCTATTGTGATCGTAAAAATATACAATGGTATTTTGTAAAACTATTAAACATAGAATACTATAATACACAATAAAATGGCTGTCAACCTTATTTTATACAAGGGTTGCCGTCGCTGAGAGCACACATACAAGCAATTACGTCGTATTATCACTACTACAAATTCGATTCGCTGTGTTGACATACTGAGTAAATTTAGGGTATGTTCCGAAATACAACGCAGTGTACTGTCCAATGCAAATGACGTCATGAATCGACGCTATCCTGGTGATTCGTTTCAAAACATTGGGCAGTATATGACGTCATACTTTTGCGCCATTTGGAAAAATGTTGGCGATTATTTTGTCATTTTGTGCTCCAAAAATCATTATATCCTCCTAATGGATATACCATCAATTATTCTATAATTTTTTGTATTTGAATAAATAGAAACAAATTCTGGCATGCTTCATTCGGCAAACACACAATTAAAAATTGTTTTATTATGGCCGGATATCCGACACAATATGGCGGCGGCACACTAGTACAATAAAGTGTCAAATGATGACGTCATTTGCATTGGACAGTACACTCCGTTGTATTTCGGAACATACCCTTAAACATTTTAGACTTTTGATTGATGTTCAAGAGATCATCATTAAAAAAATCGTTTAAATTTAAATACATATTTATTTGTAAATAGTGTGCAATTTGGCATTTTTTAAAATAATTTGCATGCGAAATTTGGAAACGATTGTAACGTCAAAACACATCTCGTGTTGACAGTTATACGTGTGAATTGACATGTTAGTGACATTTTAGTAGCTACACGGGCTCCGCCCACTCCCCCGTTCTATTATGTGTGTATTATAGTATTCTATGCTATTAACCACTCCATACCCATCATCTGCAAGCTAACAACTCCGTGTTGTTGGCAAACCTTCCCTTGAGCTGGTCCTTATTGACTGGAAATAGACCGAAGTCACAGGGCGCAAGGTCAGGACCAACTTACCTTATATCTATTATCGAGTCTTGACTTTGGGTGAAACTCTAAGTTTCTGGATCACCTTAGGCAAACACTTTTGTGTATCAAGAGGCCGCAACTGTACTCTGACTTTCCAAAACTACTCGACCAAAAATCCTCGTCTTATGAAAAATACTGGAATTACCTTTTTTTTACTGTCCGAGATTTCTGAACTTGAATTGGAGTAGGCTCATTTTCAAGCAACCAAATTTTGTTCTTATTTTTGGAAGACACATCAAAATATTATAGCCAGGTTTCATCTCCCGTGAAGATATTATTTCCGTAGTTAGAAGTTCAATTTTCATACTCTTTTAACATTTTCTTACACCAATCCACTCTGGATACCATTTGTTCTTCTTTTAAATCATGGGGTACCCAAAGTTTACAATTTTTTTCACGACACCACCTAATAACCTTTTACGATGAGGGCAGTTCTCTTTAAGTACGGAACTCATTTCTTCAGGTCAGTCTTATTCTTATTTGAATCGCATAGTATGGAAAAATATTTAAGGCTATCGTAATTATTTTTAAGACACTTGAAAAGCTGGGTATCAGTCGTATGTTTGTGTATCGCACAGTCAACAGCTTCACAAACAATTTCTCTGTCTGAGACCACAACAGATTAGTACATCTAATGCTTTCCCCGGTCGAACAGCTTAAAAAAATGAAGAAATTAAGCTAGGTGCTTACCGACAACTCCTAAATCAGACCCATCCTCCGAGATCTATCAAAATGCTTGTTGTGCCGTTACGTTGATGGAAGACACAGAAACATGCTTCTTTCAGATGTTTATTTTTTACGATTGAAGAGCAATATACTAAGTTACCAAGCAGTATGACTAAACCATATAACTTTTATGGGGGTTTGAAAGGGTTATTGGCCGCCCAAAACAGCAGCTATTCTTTTTGGTATATTAATTTCGATACATATAACTTTTTTCTATTTTGGACTGATGTCTGACCTTCCTTCAGTCCAGATATGAATCAGAACTATTTAGGTGAAACTAAATCTGCAAAAGTCCAGTTCTGAACATAGGCTTTTTATAGATTTGAGTTGTTATCTGGAAGATCATCATTCATCATCATTACAGCCTTTACAAGATCACTGCTGAACATAGGCCTCCCCCAAGGAATGCCACAAAGCACGGTCCTTAGCCACCTGTAACCATCGACTTCCTGCATGTCTTACCAGGTCGTCACTCCATCTAGTTTGTGGGGGGTGGGGGGAGGATCGCCCTACACCTTGCCTACTAGTACGAGGCTGCCACTCAAATTCTACAGTTCTGAACATAACATATTGTCGGTTTTTCGAGTTGTATGGCCGGCCCATGGGCTATGTCGGTCACTCTGGTTCTACTGCGGATATCCTCATTTCCAAGTTTATCACGCAGAGAAACCCCGAGCATAGCCCTCTCCATAGCTTGCTGAGCGACTGAGCGTCCTCATACGGCCAGCAGTGAAGGACCACGTCTCAGATATATTTTTACGACAGATTCGTAACGACTCTCGAAAACAGCACGTAGACGCGGTACAGAAGATAAATCGGTCTGTAGTTCTTCAAGAGAGCGTTATCGCTTTTCTGGAAGAATAAGACCACCGCATTTCTGCTCCACGCTTCCGGAGTGGTGCCACTATGGAGGTCGGAATTGAAGAGCTTCTGGACTATAAGTACCGGTTTTCCAACCGCTTTCAGAAGCTCCGCTGTAATTCCATCCTCGCCTGGGGCCTTGCCGTTTTAAGGGTGTTGGAGAGCCATTTTAATCTCCCTCAAACTCACGTCCGGGATATCATCGGAATAGTGTCGGATAAGACTTACTTTTGGATCGTTACTTACATTTGCGTGTGGATCTAACGATGATGTCTACAGCTGCCCATAAACTTCAGGTGTCCCGGAAACGATGGCGCCCCACTCGGTTTTCAGCTTTGACAGGCGGCTCTTTCTGGCAGACAGATCTCTGTAAAAGACTTTAGAGCCCTGGTTCCGCTCAATCATTTCTTCAATTATTAAAGTATTAAAGTTGCGTAAGTCCCGCCGCATGCATTTGGAAATCTGTCTGTTCAGTTGCCTGTATGCTGTCAAATCTGATGACGATTGCAGCCTCATCTCCCGTCTAATAGCCATGAGATTAAGAGTGTGAGCGGAGAGTTTTTGTGTCTTCTGCGGCGGGTCTTGCAGAACTTAGCTCCGACCGCATGGACAGTTTCCACGAGCTTGTCATTCATATCGTCCACTGCATTGCAATTTTCTAGGCACTGAAAGCGGTTACGTAACTCGAGCTGAAAGGTTTCGGGATTCTGGATTAGAGCACGAGGGGGACGGAGCCTTGACTTCATTAGACGAGACCTCTCCAACTTTACATTTAGGTTCAGTGTGCCTCTAACCATTCGGTGATCGCTGCCAATTTTCACCCTTGCGATCACTGAGACATCACTAGATCTTATTTAGTTAGTATTTATAGCTGTTATTTTGTTGTATAATTTACTATTACTTATAATTATATATTATTTTAGTTTATTGTAAAGTACTGATCATATGTGGGAGAAAAATAAATACTAAATTATTAAATAATAATAATATTTCCGTTTTAGTATTGATAAAAAGTATAAGATATTAAATCTAAATTTGAAAGGCTTAACATAACTTGTTTTGTATATTACAGTTTAAACAACTGATGCTCAAGTTCGACCCCGAGGAGGAGGAGGACGAAGAGGCGGCGGCGGGCGGGCAGACTGCCGGTACGGGTGCGAGTGGGGGTGCGGGCGCGGGAGAGGGGAGCAGCGCGCGGCCCGCGCCCCCCGCGCCGCCGCCCGCCACCTAGCCGGCACCGCGACGCGCCCCACACGCCCCGGACGCCGCGCGGTAGTGTCCCCGGGACCACGCGTCGCGCCGCACCGCACCGCTCCGCTCCGCACCGCACCGCGACACAACTCAACTGAACAAATGCAACAGTGAAAACGGCGCGGAACGCTCCCGTCTGCAACCAAAACGATTCGCATAAAGAGCGGAGAGTGCCACAGAAGCAAACTAGTGATGACGTCGGCTCGGAGCCGTGTGCGCGTGTGTGCATCGCGAATATCTCGCCGAAATGGACGATTGCATTATTAAAATTAGAAAAGTTCGAGCTCATCGCCCGGTCTTCTTTTGGTTATTTTCGTCTAAATGGTTTAATTTATTGAAGGGGTATATGTGCGGTTTCCGTTGGCGAGGGGACGGTGAAGTCGCGCGGGGCCGGAATGGACTGAAATGATAGCCCGCCGCCGCCGCTTCAATGTCGCCCGCGGCCACGTTAGAACGGCAATCTTAAATTTTTTAACTTAAGTTATATTTGAGAACTCGATTTTGTTTTATATTAAAAGTCTTGTGTGTAGATAATTTTTATGAAGAATATAAAGTATATGTAACAAATCCGACTTGACTTTTTCAAAGGTATTCTTTTTATTTTAATGAAATCTCAAAATATCAAGCTATTAGTACATACAGTGCCGCATTGATTAGTGGTACTTTTAACATAGGTCAATTTCTTATTGTTTAGGTAGCAGCGACATATAAAATATTGCATAATTTTTATACATATTCGCGTTTATGTAATATAGAATAAACTATTGTTTTATTGAAGGGTACTGCAATAAACTGCATTTCAATAAATAAAAACATTAAGTTCTAAGGCTAGATTTTACATATATTATTTTATTAAAACCTTAATGATCATGAACTGTTCCTTATTAAAATACAATTGTGCGATTGACATCGGCTTTTAGGGTGCCGTTGTCATACAATACTCTAATAATTTTGTTATGTCTGCCTGATGTGTTATTTTTAGAGTTTATTTTGTCTGAATTAAATACAAAATTAGATGTTTATTCTATTAATGTAAGGTCTTAATTTATAGACGACGAAGAATATACAATTTTTTTTTTGTTTTTCCTATCCGGAGGGTATTATGAGATAGGTGTATTAAAGTTATTATGACGTAGAATAAACCACTTTTAGCAATGATAGTTTCGTAATATCAATTTTACACAAAATTTACATATTTGCGTTAATCAATCAGCTTAACATTTACCATTCATAGTTAACCAATTTAACTTCCTCATACGCCAAGCAGTGAAGTATTCATTGACAACACATACCATTTTTCTTTATAAGATTTTACCGATCAAAATCAAGGCCTGTGGCAATGTATTGCAGTTTTCCGAACATAAGCCAGCTAAATGATAAAAAATGTCTAAATAAAAATTATGATTGTGGAATTGACTACCTGAACACATTATAAGTGGATTATCTTTAGTCAGGAAGCGAATAGAATCGAACACATAACAAAACCTATCTATTATGAGATGCTGATCATTCTCACTAAATCACTCTTTCAGTAAAAGAGGTCCTGATGTGTACATTTAACGCTTCAAGCGCCATAAAAATCCCATGTAGTCGCATGCGTCCGACAAATCCCGGGCGCCGCACCCACTCACAGCACTTAAAACCATTAAAACTTATATTCAGAGACTAATTTTCTATGAAGAAGTTAAGCATTATAAAATCTATGCAAAATTATCTTGTGGTCTAAACAAAAGTCAGGTTTCACTTCATTACAAAAAGATTTTATTGTATTTTGATAACAAAAGAAAACATATCAAGCGAATGTCGGCAGCGTGAAAATCACAATTATTTCAATATATATTTTCTCTCGAAATTATTTACGTAAAAAGATAATATTCACAAAATAACTTTCATTACAATTTTATAATAAAACTATACTAAAACACTAATAAAACACTAGAAAAATTCAGAAATCAACACAATAATATTAACGCGAAAATGGCGTACGAAACGAACGTAAATTAAAAATAAATATTCAAAGGATAACAGTTTTTTTATTGCACTAGAGGCTAGAGTATTTCATATAGATTATATAATGCCAAACTTCTTCATAGAAAGTAGTCTATATATAAGTTTTTATGGGTTAAAGTGCTGTGAGTGGGTGCGACCTCACGAGAACGCTAGGGATTTGATGGAATGAGACCACTAGGGGGTTGAGAGGTTAAGAATGCTCTTACTGGCTTTATAACTAAAACATACCAGCATGGTTTAAAAATCTCGGCTGAGGCTTAAGAGCCCTGTGCTGTCTGGCTACCAAGATTTACCTATTCGATTTCGATCTACCTTTTCACATAAAACTGTAGTAACTAACAGTCCACCTGATGGTAAGTGGGACACGTGCAGCCAACGTCAAGCAAAAAAAACTACTACAGATACACTATCATTCCTAAATGGAATTCTTCCCAGCCTATATTTATACAGGCTCTCTATATCCTTTTGACTGGAACAGGGCAGTGCAAGCACTGCTATTTGACGGCAGAAATTGGTAAGACGGGGTTTTTTTATACGATAGGGTGACTAACGAGCACACAGTCCACCTGATGGTAAGTGATTGCTGTGGCCCATAGACATCTACATCTATCCTCGATTACGAATCAAAATGCAGAAGCATTGTCACCAGTGAGGACTAAGATGTAATGCCCCGTTTCCAGTAAAAAGGTTCTCCGGTTCTCTACACTCGCCATACGAAACACGGTAGCGTTAAGCTGCTATTTTACGCTGGTATTCTGTGAGAGCGTGGTCCTTCCCCGGTCGAGCCGACCTTTGTACTACAACTATACCAGTGTATAGCTGCAGCATGGCTCTACCACGTATACTCAGTCGGACTCCAAGGCAGAAAAGAAGTCCTACCGGTACTGACACTATCATGCCCCTTCTAATATTTGTTGTTCGTATTGACCTAGCGTGTACACGACCAGGTGACCGGGGTCGGCTTTACGTAGACACAAAAGATTTTGGTGGACTAATAAATACCACACCATAGGTGATACTAATAAATACCGGAAAGTTTGACCTAGTGCGTATATGTATGGATTCTTCTGCTGTGAGTTTAGGAGCGATGGCATGGACGCTAGTGGAGACTTAAATTTATTGAACTATTTTTCTTCTAACAAAAAGAATTCGTGATATGGAATCCCGCACACGCAGAGCATATATTTTTTAACTTTAATAAAAAAAGACGTGTGCACTCGGGGACTGCCGCGGTAAAGCTATTGCATAGCATTTTGTATCAACTTATGCAATTATAATTATTAATATAAGGACTACGTAAATATTCAGTACAGCAAGATTGGAAGAAAAATGACGTCTAAATATTTTTTCGTATTTAGTAAACGAATAACTAGTTGGTAAATTAATCATGATATATATTTTTTTTTTCGGCGGAGACTAAAATAATATTGCTTTTTTTCGTAACTGCAGATTCTGTGGATTTATTTCATTATTTTGAACAATATACGAAAGGGGATCGCCCATTTTCGGCCATGGAACGCCCAACAATGTGCATTTGTTAAAAAAATATATCTTTATTTATGATTATTAATCGCGATATTCATTTATCCTAAAACAATGGGAATATTTTCGCACAAATTAAAAGTACCGAAAAGATAAGATAAAATTAGGTAAATCATTAATTCATTAGTTTGTGAATAAAATAAAAAGTGTTGCCAATCACAAATCTCATTAAAAAAAATCGATTCCCCTTTTCCATCGATTACTTATGGTGTCATTATTACAATGCTTATATAATTTTTCGATAATTATTACGATGTTATGATATAGGTTTAAAATAACCGTTGACAATGCATATTTATCCAAAGCAGCCGATACGCAACCGTTATTAACCAGTTGTTTATCCGACTACAGACGAAAAAGGATTGTTATGTTTTTACTGTGTGTGCGGGTTAGGCTATGTTGAATCGTTTTTTGCTATGGTGCTTAAAAACGTAGGATGCATTTTATTATTGAGGGCGCTACTATCAAAGAATATTTTTTTCGCTAAACTCGTAAAGTACTTGACCAACTTTGAGAATTCTTTCACCACTAGATTGTTATGAGACTGAGCCGTGGTAGCTCAGTGGTTAACGCTCGCTGTAAATATAACAGAACGCGAGTGACCCGGGTTCGATCCCCGCCGGCACCAATGAAATTGTTAATTGAAATTTTAAGTGCTGATTTACCACGTGCTCGACGGTGAAGGAAAACATCGTGAGGAAACCTGCATGTCTGAGGAATAAGAGAAAAAAAAAAAAAATAATTCGAAGACATGTGAAGTTCGTCAACACGCATTTGGGCAGCGCGGCGGACACTTCCTTGCCCTAAACCCTCTCAGAAATGAGGGGGGGGGGCCTGAGCCCAGCAATGGGACGTATATAGGCTGTAACTTTATTTTACTTTTACATTGCTAATGAGGGCGTTAGCTGTGTGATACATTTATGTTATTACAATAATTAATTGTGAGATTAATATTTTCTAAATTAATAAAACTAAATACCTACCTAAGATGTTCAAATCCAATTATTATTTTTACAATTTAAGAATCGTATTTACACACTTTACTTACTCAGATTGATTATTATAGATAAAGAGGTAATAAATCTAAAGTAAAAGAGCTCCGCTTAAACGAAAAAACTATTTATTAAAATAAAACTAAAAGTAGAAAAAAAGTGGCTAAGTGCGAGTCGGACTCGTAGGCCCATGAAGAGTTCTGTAGTAACAAGCATATATTTTAAATCGAGTCAAAATACTACTATCATTATCGCCAGCAACAAATTATTTTGTTTTTCATAGTGTTTGTATAAATAACAAAGTTGTTTTTGCGGTTATTTAAAATGTGCTACTTGTGTCTAAAAAAAGGACTATTATACATTATAGGGGTTCCTGTGGTTTATTCATTACCAAAGAGAAATAACTTATTGCACAAAATGGGTTTTTATCCATTTC